GTAATTATGCATGAGTAAGATCATGGGTCATATATATATACTTTTCAACTAGACAAAATCTCTTTTTATTATTACTTCTTATTCTCTTTTGAAAAACCATGTCACCTCCTTAGATATCTCTTAAACTTTATTTCGTTTTAATCGTTGCCATTAAAACTCAAAACTGCTCTTTAAACTTTCTAATTATTGTTTTTTTGCTTTGCTTAGAACTAAAGAAAGATATATACGATTACAGATACAAGTGGAGCTTGAAAAAAAGGAATAAGAAATTTGCAACTCAAACTTCAACTTATTATATCTTATGAAGTTTAAGATCTTTCACATTTGAACAAAAAAAAAAAAAAAAAATCTTTCACTTATATTGTTGTAACTTTGAATTGAATTGTTGATGTATAGCGTTTGTGGCGGTTACGTTTAAAAGAAATCATCTTTTCTAATAACATAATATAATATCTTTTTTTGAATCCGAAGTTTATGAGATTTGATTTTGAAGAAAACTAGAAAAATTCCATTACGTTAGACTTAGATATCATTTCGTTATAACTATTGTAATGACGTGAAATGTTTCTCACTAAACAATACTTTTTTGGGGTTCAAAGCTCACTAAACACTACTTAAACTATCTGTTGAAGGATTCCGTTAATGTGGACCCAATTGTCCAAAAGATAAGAGGAATGCCTTTCGTGATATGTGCTGAAATCAAGTAAAGTCGAGTACCTTTTCTTATTATAAAATTGAATTGAAATGGTTTCCTCTAGAGGGAGATATAATTAACAATTATTACTTAACCTCCGTGATTAAAAAAGCGACGATCACCAATATTCATGTTTGAAAGTAATTTTGATTTTGGCGGTTAGTTACCTTAAGTAAATCAGTAAATGTAATGATGGCATCGGCCTCTGCTAATCTCTCTCCGTCGGCGAACGCCTCCATCTTTGTCTTGATGGCGTGGCATAACGTCAACTATATAATTACTATATAGTAGTTGTGATACAATTGAAACTTCATTGATTTAATAGCTTAAAATTAACAACACGTGCTTATTGTTTTATCCTCGAGCGGCCTGGATTAACCCAAAGAATAGTGATTCGTAGATGACTATGACTCAATATCAAGGACTATTTTGCTACATTACATGTGAATATTACTAGTTTACATACAAGTTGCAGCCACTAATGAGCAAATAAATCAAACAATTGTAAGAAATAATGGTATAATCCAAATGATAAGTAAGAGTATACTAAATCTGAATCGTTTTGTCGACTTCTTGGACGTTTCAGTTGGATCATTAGTAGATTAATTAAAACATGTTCCTTATTGATTATGTCCTTAATCCTTGCATTGTGCAGGATGCAAACTATGCTCTATATAACTTGCTTTCCAACGTGCCAATTGGTATCGAACACACACAATTGGTAATATTTCACTACTCCAAAGAGGCCAAGACCAAAAGCCTTATAAGATGATTACAATGGAACTAATCAGAAACAGAATTTAAACATGCCATAATATTCAGCTATTATTAGTTAAAAAATCTATATCGAAATTTTATATATAGGTGATTTCATAACTTAATACTTCATAAAATTTAGATTACAAAATAAGAATGTAATTAAAAAATATGGACAATTTTTTTTTTGAACAATGGACAAAAAAATTTACAGTGTGTATTTTAGGATTGGAAATTTAAATACAAAGACTGGATGATTTCGACCAAAAAAGGGATTGGATGATGATAATTTAAAAATTGCTACTAATTTATTATCAATTTATTGTTTCTAGAATTTATTTGTAATAAATAAAATTCATAATTTAACTAAAACTAGAAAACTTCACTTATCGCTATGTGAAATAACTGTAAATAAGTGATAATGCTGACAACGAACTTTTAGAGTGATAATCACAATACAATAGTACAATTCAGAAGAAGTATAATTTTAGAACAGTCACTGCGAAAACACAGACGAATGCTGCAGACTGTAATAATGATACTAAGAAGATGAAACAAATAGTAGTATTCATGAAAAAAATACGAGGAAACAAAAGCGTGGTGCCAGACACATTGTGGAATTGGACATGAGAGTGATGTTTCAACAATTTCTTTCTTCACTACTTTCGTATAGTATTGCCTCTCTAAGCAAGCTTTTTTGTACTTAGAACAAGGAAATATATATATATTCTTGTGACCTAATCATGAGTTTTCTGTTTTTGTCCCACTTTTGCAATCATCATTCTACTACAAAATGATGCTCTCTCACTTTAATTTCGGCCTCTTTTATTCGTCTTCATTTTTTCTCTCATTCATTGGTTGTGTTTCTTTTTTGTTTACTATTTATGAGTTTTTGAAAAACAAGCAACTATTGAGAAGCACTGAGCCATTGACAATTAGAATGTTCGTTCAATATGAAGATTTACATTATAAATTTAAAATAATAAACATACGGATAGATCGATGTAGAATACTATATTTACTAATCATATGATTTTCCTACGAAAGTTTTCGATTACTTGCGTCCTTGATCATTTATTCAAACTTTGCGAAACAGATTTGCATGATCATTCAATTACAGCCCATTTGCTCGTAGTGGCGCTATTTGAACGATATAGCAAAACTATTGGACCATATATATATACGGCTACTTGATGGCCAAACATTTGACCTAAAATCATCTCTTGTACTCTCTTTCTTCATCCTGCCTTCTTCTTGTTTTATATATATTGATCTTTCGCCTCTTCGTCCACACTTTCATTTCGAAATTCGAATAATAGTCCTCTCTAGGAACTTGAAAGAGGCAAGTCCTTCTCAAAGATAAAACCAAAGTCAACGTCAACCTCTCTCCAACTAGAAATTTATTAAATCCTCAATCATTTGGAAGGCGGCGATTCTTTTGTATTTCCATTGGAACCTATACAAAACATCACCGTGACTTTCAATGAACATCAACATAAAATATATACCCACTTTCGACGTATACAGAAAAAAAAGAAGAAGAAACCAATTAAGTCTAATTTCGACGTATACAGAAAAAAGAAGAAGAAAAAATGATTTAATAAAACTGGAAAATGATATTTATTAAGATGTGTAATTCGGTGGTTTCGCTAGTTTTTGTCGTCACACTCTCTCAAACTTTTATGAATATACGTGTGAAAAATATAGACGAGCATAAACCAGCTTGTTAGACGAGCAAAATATAATTCATGAATTATGTCAAATTATGGACAAGTGTGAAACACTGGAGAGACTTAGTTTAAATAGATAACTTAAAATTTGTTGTTGTTTGCTCAAAAATTGTTGTGATCAGTGTTTAATAAAATTTAAATGGTTTACATGCGAAAAAATCACGTATCAATTGAATTATACATCACTCGATCGTCACGCTGTGATTAGACTGAGGTAAAGTTAAACTATGGGATTTCTTCCTCTTACAACAATATGTCAAGGGAGACAGGTTGGTTATACAAGGGATTGAGTGTTTTTTTTTTTCGTTGTAATGATATTTTCTTTAATTATGTTGATGATATGATCTAATTTCTTAATACTCGACTTAAGTTAGCTTTATAGAGATTAATATATTTTTAAACTAATCATGCTATTATTTGTTTAAAAAAAGTTCTCTTTCCTATAATACGATAATAATGAGAACGAATCTGCTATCAAAATATACGTTTCTAAACACTTATTGTTGTTCTCGTGTAGAAACATGCTCGAAAATTAATCAAACTTGACTTTGTTTTTCTTTTCTTTACACGGTTAGATCAGCCTCATCTGAATAAGATCAAAGAAATCATACAAGTAACAACTCTGTAATTATTAAAATTAATTAATGTCTATACAAATTATTGCATAGTGAAACATGTATGGCTATTTTTCCACACCACTTTGCGTACTTAAAATGAAGAACTCTTTACATTCTCAGGACAAGGTATCTCCTTTGAGATCAAAGTAAGGAAAAATAATATAAAAAGTACCAAAAATATTAAATTTCTTTGTCAAACCAAAAAAAAATTAAAAAATTCGCATTTTTGGGGGGACAATTCTTTTAGATTCGTACCATGCTTTCATGGAAATGAGTCTGTTGTTGACCGATGGCTTCCCCTTTATTTTTATTTTTTTCTGTTTACTTTTTGCTAATTAGAAAATTCTGAATTTTGTTTGGGTCATATTTTTTTGTAGGTTTGAAACAAATTTTTAGTAATTAAATCATCATCCCCCAAACCTAGCAAGACGAACTAGGTAGAATATTGTATACATGAACAATTGAAGTAACTGTTCTTAATTAGATTTCATCTATTTTCGTTTCTATTATATAACCATCAAATTTTATAGCACTATCTTCGTTTGACACTTACAAAAAAAAAAAAATTCCGCTTTGTAAATTAGTGACATAATTCCAATACTCTTTTTAACATTTCAGGTTCTTAATACTGTATGTGTGAAAAGTTCAAAATGACAACCCTTATAATAAAAAAAAGAGGTAGTACTATTTGTCTTTAACCTTGCAATTATTTCAGACTATAATAGAGCTTATTATATTCTTCTTTCTTTCTCGTAGATAAATTTTAGCAAATTTGATTTTTTTCTGAGCCAATATATGTCTTTATTTATTTATTTCTCTATCATCTATATATTTCGAGGAAAAGTAAAAATAATTTGGGAGTGTTATCTCCAAAGTATTAAGACGGTTTTTTCTATTGTAGTTTGTAAAGGAATCAAACATTTCTTTACTAGGTTTTTTTGTTCATCTCTTGATTTTCCTATATATTTGTGGTCCCAGAAAAGGTGTCAATTAATTCACCAAACGATTATAAAACAAAAGCGTTACACGAGAAATCGCCAATCACATTTTCTCTCATTTTATAATAATTTCTCCATCTTCTTCTTTCCTCTTCAACCTTACAGAACCTTCACAAAGATAAAAACAACTCTATATCTCTCTGCAACAATCTATAGCATCTTGCTTCTTCATTATTCTTACAAATAAATCGTTTCATATATAAAAATGGGAAGACATTCTTGCTGTTATAAGCAAAAGCTGAGAAAAGGGCTTTGGTCTCCTGAAGAAGACGAGAAACTTCTCAATTACATAACTAGACATGGTCATGGCTGTTGGAGTTCTGTCCCTAAACTCGCAGGTTTGGTCTCCATGCATGCGCTCTTATATTTGAAAAGTTAAAAGAATTTTGTAATATAATATCTTTTATAATGTTTGTGTATATGCATTAATTGGTGGGTATATATGATCATATAGGTTTGCAGAGATGTGGAAAAAGTTGTAGGCTTAGGTGGATAAACTATTTGAGACCCGACTTAAAGAGGGGAGCTTTCTCTCAAGACGAAGAAAGCTTGATCATTGAGCTCCATGCTGCGTTAGGCAACAGGTTCATAAATTAAGAACGGATTAGCGACATATTTATATATTTTTTTATTTCATATATAGATACGTATAATCTTTGAAATGTGTTTCATTCTTGGAATCCCTTTTGAAATGTGTAGATGGTCTCAGATCGCAACTCGGTTACCAGGAAGAACAGACAACGAGATCAAAAACTTTTGGAACTCATGTCTTAAGAAGAAGCTGAGAAGAAAAGGCATTGATCCAACAACACATAAACCCCTATTAAGCGACCTTCACTCTCTTAACGTCATGGATCATAAGTTGACGTCAGAAGTAGTAAAGTCAACGGGTTCTATAAACAACCCACATGATCAGTCGATGGTCGTCTCATCGCAACCAGGTCCATGGTGGTTCCCGGCGACAGCTACTACTAGTCAAAACGCTGCGTTTTGCTTCAGTTCAAATACTCCTCCAACGGTTTCAGACCAGATCGTATCTTTAATCTCTTCAATGTCCACGTCATCATCTCCGACACCAATGACTTCAAACTTCAATCTTGTTCCAAACAACTGGGAACTCAACTACTGCAACAACACAGTTCCATCTCAGAACAACAGTATCTACAGTGCCTTCTTTGGTAATCATTACACAGAAGCTAGCCAAATCATGAACAATAACAATAATAATAATCCAGTAGTGGATCATCATCAACAAGACATGAAGCCATGGCCATCAGAGATTCTTCACTACGCAGAACTTAACCAAAGCTCAGATACTGGTTTCGAAGCAGAAGTGAAGCCAGACATAGCCAAGTACTACTGGAGATCAACGTCGTCCTCGTCATCACCAAACGAAGAAGCTGCAACATTATTACATGATCATGCTGGCGTCGAGTTGTACGGTAAAAATCTACAAAAACTTAGTAACATGGCGTTTGATCAGAGACTTTAGATGATTAACATGTGTTATAGAGAGAGAGAGAGTCAAATCAGTATTTTCTTCATTTTCTATTCACATTCACGAACGGAGTTTATTGATTCATACATACATATATAATATATTATGCAGGTGTGTAAGTATGTATATATTTATATGTGTTTTTTTGGTTGAGTAAATTTTCTACTTGTGTTATTTATTTTCTGTTGGTGCTAAGATGTATAATTCCTTTTTTCCGTCTCCTTGCTTGTCATGACTTTGACCTTAACAGAGTTTCATATTTATTTATTTATTTACATCGATCTATGTTAAGCTTACTTAAGAAAAGTTATTTCAAGGATTATAAATTTTTTTTTTTAAAAACAAGAAAAGTACGCATGTCCCAGTCTAGGTAGATGGTCTTTTTTCTATAAGGAGAGATTAGTAGATCCTAAGTTGGAGTGGAGAGACTTCTTCGGTAAAGTGGCTAATATTCCGGACAACGAGATGCATGCGTGAGCACTGCTTAACCGAAAGACCCATAATTTTTTTTTTTTTTGTATTAATGTATATATGTAGTGGTTGACAAAAAAAAAGTATATATGTAGTGGGTCTTATATATATAAACTATTAATTTTTGCTATTTTTTATTATTCGATTAAAAGTATACCGACCATGTTAACAAATTGTGAACAGTTTATTGTTAGAGATGAGATCCATATCGTCTCTAACAAGCCCGATACGAATTATGGTCGGTCCGTTTAACAAGTTTCAGGTCGGTAACGTAAAAAAAAATCTTTCATTTATCGATCGACCCGGGAAAAAAAAAACTCCTTGCCGACAAGAGTTTCCTATTCCAAGCAGATTGAGGACCGACCTAATCGGCTATAAATGTAGGAAGTCCTCGACTCTTCAACCGATCCAAAAAATCATCTATCGAGACCTAGGGCAAATTAAACAATCTGATTGTTCTAGCTTTCGATTTACTTTCTATAAAAGTTTAGGTCGGCGTTCTTATTCCGACGACATAAACTCTCGTGTATTCATTCAAGTTCCGACTTCTTCTAATAAAAGACCTCTTTAAACCCACAAACCCTAATTCTTTCGTAGATCGAACTTGAGTTTTTACATTTATGAATATTGTAATATCTAGAAATTGATTTATAATAGTTTTAGTATAATATTTACAATTTTCTTGGATTAATCTCGTATGCTTTTGTAAACTATAGTATATATATCTTTAAATTACTTTATCAATTATTAAGCTTATTTAAGTTTGAATATGGAATATAATTTATTTTAACATTTTTAACACTGTTTTAAGAGAAGTTAATCCAATTTGACAAATACTCTAATTGATATTTTACACTACACAATACAGACACAAAAAACCAATAAATGATCAAAGGATCTTAGAACATTTTATTTATTATATAAAACGTTATCAAAGAATAATTTAGTACTTTTACTTTTACACCAAATTATTTACTTAAGGAGTATCGAATTAGTTTTGTCTGTCTTCGGGAACTGAAGTTTAGCCTTGGCCTGTCTCTTTCTCAAAAAAATCATACAGATTCAATCCGTTGAGATACGAATTTAGTAGTCTACAAAATAACTATTGGTCTAATTTAGTCTTTTTAAGTTATTTTTTAAATCATTATAGATACAATTTTCATACTCATTTATTAAAAATTCGTATAATGTGACTAAAGTATATAAATAATACGCAAATCTATCAACTGAAATAGATGAATTTACAAAAGGGACAGTTCATCTTAGAATGGAAGTCCATCGCTGTCTCTTTTAGAGAGAGAGAAATGTACCTTCACTTGTGATCAGTTCTCCTACTCATTGTTTTTACTTCTCAGACATCGATTTCCCACAGTTTTGAAAATGACGTGTGAAAAAATAATAGATGTAAGTAAATAGTATACAATACGAGTAGTGACGATGTGAAAAGACCAATCTGTGACTTCAAGTTTCCGTGCAAAGTAATACTAATTTACATGTACTAGTTTTCAGATTTCTTTTATCTATATAAATCAACAACAACAAATATTTACTATGTTAATATGGTAGCATAGTAATTACAAATTTCACTCCACAAAATTAGTCTAAATATCGATTTATATATAGTCATCGTTTAACAAAATAAGGATTAAGTTAAGTCATGCGCGTAGCAGAAGGGAGGACCCTTGTTCTTGTAAGGTGGCAAGATATGAAATTCGAAGGTGTGTTACTCTTCTGACAAGATCCCAATATAATTCACACGAGGGCAGCTTTTGAGTTGGTATTGTTTTATTTTTCCTTGAGGTGGACCAAAAAGTCCTATGTTTGCAGAAGAAGGGACCATTGTTGCTGACATCTATAGTGTCGATAAAACTGGAAAAGCCATGCAAGAGATAAGAATTGAGCATGCAAACTTTTCATTAAAAAAAAAAAAAAAAAAACATGTGTTATTAAGTTTAAGAAATTAATTGTAGTTAATTAAGAACAAAATATGATCTTCTTGTAGGAATGTGTTTTCAGTTAAATCGGTTTAAGCCAACCTACCTATTCAGATTTAGAAGAGTAATGTAAAATGTGCATTGATGGTAATTTTGGCATGCTTTAGCCTTTATAATATGGTCTGATGGTCATGATCATGGACTTATTGGATATGTGTGTGAGTTGAGTATCAAGCCTGATGAAACTGATGTGACTCTGTGAGCAATTATATAGTTTTTCGTAAGCCAAAATAAAAAGAAGAGATGAAAGTAACATATATATTTGTCGGCTATTATTAGATAGTCTGACGCTTATATGGCTTTCTCTCTATGATAATTGATATAAGGAGTACCTATATTTTCGGTCCGACTCTATTAATTCTTCATATATATGATGCTATCTAATCAATTCATTGATGACACTTTCTTTCTCAATCTGCATAAAGCTACTATTTTAAGTAGATTGACATTCACTGAATAAAAACTCATCAGCGTCAGTAACTAAAATTGATAGAATCATGAACTTTGTTTTCTTTTCAAGTTTGGAAATGATTAGAATGAACCAGTGATTTCAATGCAAACATTCACTGTTCACGACTATTTGTACGTTCGTATAGTTTTTTTTTTTAAACGACGTACGTATAATTGATAAGACAAAATATCTTTAAAATGGTTCATAATCTACATTTTTTTGTTAAAGGGTTTACAATTTACATATGTGATCAAATATTACATTAAGTCTCCGACGTACTAATCAGATATTTATTTAAGAGAGAAACCATATTTCAAACAAAAACAGCAGAAAAGTTATGGTAATTACTATCATGAAAACTAAATAATTGCTTTAAAGTAGAAAAATGAAAATTTTAAAATGTTTGAATTCAAATATACTTATGTAGTCGTTTGTGTAAACGAATTCCATTTTTGATAGGTAGTTTTATTTTCAATTAAGAATTGCAATAATATTATACGGAAATCATCTCTTAGTAGTACTTTATATATTTAAGATTTTATTATGAGTAGAGACAAACCGATATTATACATAGCCGAAAATGACTCTTAATTTAATATTTCCCCCCAATGTTGATTGTTGAATCAGAATATAAATACAAAGGATCCTCTAGAATTTTCAAAAAGCAAACGTTTATGAGTTGATCATTTGTATTTGAAGACTTACAAAAAAGGCATTTTTTATCCTTACACCTCATAATTTGCATGTGAGCCAAAATAATTGAGGCCCTACTTTAATCATAACATTCATTTCTATATTCACAATCACAAAAATATCACTATAGCTATATTGTTTTATTCGATCATTGTTGTATATGAGTTTCTCAACTTGTCTTAAAAAAAAAGAGAGAACATATTGTACATATATAACATATTATATTGTACATATATAACATATTACATGTATATGTATGGAGTTCTTTTTGTATCAGAATTTTCTAAAGGATCGTTGTCGTTTTAATATGGAGATAACGATAGCGTAAACTAAAAAAAAAGCTTATTGATAAAGACAACGATGTGGCGGTGTCAAGGCAATATTCTGAAGGTGCATTATCAACCACTCTAGTCATGGGAACTAATATTTAAAACGTGAGATTACTATTTCTTTATATAATAAAATACTTCCTGCGAAAACAATGATCCACTATTCGTTACAATTTGATTTAGTTGTGAAACTTGATACCATATAATTCTACATAAAACATTTCTGTAACAATACAACAATCAACTTGTATCTATGATTTTTTTTTTTTTAAATCTATGAATTGATCAAACTTGTGGAAAGATTCCTAGATATGTATATTTTTTATGTATGTTTTTTTGTTGAAGGCATTCATATAAAACCGCCAAAAGACGTGTGTCTGTGTTAATGATATATGGAAAAAGTTTGGTTAAAACAAACTTACATTTCACTATAGTTTAGAAATTAAAAAAAAAATGAACAATATAAAGACGAATATTCGCATTTAAAACAATCAGAACACTTTTGAACAAAAAAAAAAACAATCAGAAAATCAATGTGCCTGCAGTTGCATGGTTATCAATATCTATACTATTAAGATTGGTTATGTTCAGCGTCGGTTCAATATTACAAGGGCCTCAGAACAAAAATATCAAAAGAGATAATTAGCTATATAGACACAAAGATTCGCGTTTGAAACAACTAGAAGAACTATGTGTATGTAGCTGCATGAACACGAGTACTTTTTACAATGGTTATGTTCATGGTCCAGTGACAAGGGCCCTAGGCTAAAAAAAACTAATATTTTAGACTTTTTATCTGTGTAATCTCTTTACTTTTTTTACCATGCTATACAAAAAATCAAGAAAGGGCCCTTATATACATTTTTAAATACGCTTGGGCTTGGGCTTGGGCTTGGGCCTTCGCACTCTTGTCTCACTATCAGTCTAGCATGAGAACCGTGTCGGGTTTGGTCAGATTGACATGTCTAAATTACTAAGCAAACACAGTGACATTGGACGTAAAATTTTGAAAGGCCTTTCTTCATCTCTTCAGGATACAGTACAACAAGATCAGTGATAAATGAAAGAAATGAAATTTTATTTTTCACTTCTAATTTCGTTCGTATAGGAAACAAAAAAAATGACAAGATTATTCATCTGAAGACCAGATTGTGGCAGCTCCGATCACACGGGTACGGACAATCTATGAGCTTCACTTCCGCTCTATCGAAATACCAATCTCCAACTGCTATCGCCACCGCCTAATCAAAGTTACAAAGAGTTCAAAGAACTGATTATTTCAGTATAACATGTAAATGCAAACGCATAACCATAAGCGAATATAAAGTGGATACCTTTTTGTGGATAACAGGGGAATCATCGGCGAACCAAGTGTCTTGCCGTTCGGTTTGGCAATGAGCAAAACAGGAGTTTATAAACAAACCGTTCTTTCTTGAATTCGAGAACCCCCTCACAGCTCTCAACATCTGATCTCTAAACCCTGTTACAAAAATGTAAGCTTCAAGAGTGAGTGAGAGAGGCTGTGTCATTTTTAGAATGATAACTTGAAAAGAAAAAAAAGTTTGGAATTTTCAGACGCTTTCGACCTTGCAAGAACCGGATCTGTGCTGGACTGCATCTTCCATGGTTTAATCTGCATTCATGCCAATAACCACTAGGATCTGCACTTGGTGGAGCGAGACTGCTTTGAATCTGTTTTATAACAAATCAGCCATACACACAAAAAAGCTTATATTCAATAATCTCAAATGGTTTCTACATGGAAGAAGAAGAAAACACACACCTGCCAAATATCATATGCTGCATTGACAATAAAAAGAGGAGTTTTCATCTGACTGATCAAGTTTTGAGGGAAGAAACACTGTCCAAGAATTAAAAGACAAAGAGTATACAGGTCAGCTTTTGCGATTATATCCAAAAGACAAGCGATTTTTGACTTAAGGGAGCTTACAGAAGTTGGATTGAGATGGTTTGTGCATATATGTGGCAGATTGTTCTTCACTCCCTGCCAAGATTCATCACCATAACAGCAAGATTTGTAAAGCAAAAATCTTATCAAACTTATGAAGTTTTTCAAATGAAGATGAGGTAAAAAAACGTCACACCTGCAACTGCACAACTCCGTTATATAGATTCCTGATGGTGTGGCCACCGGAGACATCAGGCCTTCAACCATGGAGAAACATAAGATTGGTTCTTATCAGATTCAGTCACAGATACAAAAGCTGAGTTTGAGACGAAGAAAGATTCATGAGAAATGAATCAACTTACGTGTCCAAGAACAAGCCTGCATCGCTTAAACACTTGACTTTGGTAGATCTTGACAACAAGTTTCTGAATTCGTCACAACGTAAAATCACTGCTAGACCACCTGCAGAGCATCCAGATAGAAGTGCCTGAAGAGTATCAACCATATTAAGAAAAAAAAAACTGTTTGGTTCGAATGTAAAAGACAAGATGCTATAAACAATGAAGGCCAAAGTGAAAACACCTGTTTGGCATTTCGCATTCCTTTTGCTTTCAAATCTTCCATTGCGGCTCTCCATATCCGCTCTCCTCTAAACTGAAGCCCTGCAGCCTGAAAAAAAGAAACAACTCAAATCCCAAAACTGAGAAGCTAAAAAACAAGAAAACGAAATGTATGACATCTCTAGTGAAAGGTTCTATACGTTTCTTAAAAACAAACCTGGTTCTGACTATCTCCACTGAAGGAACCACCATCGCAGTAACGAAGCTTGACTCTGTTCCAGTTGAAAAAGTCTGAACAACATTACGCAAAAAGGTAATGAGTGATATAGTTGCTTCTTCAAGATTTTTTACAGATGAAAAAGCATGCAAGGCAAAGACCTGGATTTTGTTGAGCTTTGTTGCTAAGTATTCCTGTAAACTGTATCTGTTTCTCCATATAGTTAGAGGATCCACGACGACTCTTCTTTCTGTATACACAGTTCCTAATGTTGTCACACCATCCTCCTCCCTTTTCCACATTTTCAATTTCAACACACATTCAATTTTTTTAGACTATAAATAAGACTCAAAACCAAAAAGCTTTATCTATTTATATATATGGAAAAACAAATCTTCTTTGCTGCTAACCTCTAGTTGGATAAGCCAGCTATTGGCTCCGGATCCATGTCCACGATGTAAGTGATATCCAGGCAAAGTTCCATCCAAACAAACTGTAATTAAAAGACACAACAAGATTTGTCTTTCACAGATCTTAGATTCAATACACTGTTCTGTTTCTACATTTTTTTGTTTCCAGGACTTAATAGTTAATATTGATGTTTTATAGCCATTTTCAGATGCACATACATAATGTTGATGATATGAAAGTAAATTACTTTAAAATGCAACTATCTTAGACACGGTTGATAATAATATTTAGTAGATTTCTGTCATACAAAACTCTGCTTAAATCTGAGAATGCCATTGGAATATATGATAAACAAACAAAATAAAAACCAGAGAGTGTACCAGCTCCTTTGGCACCAGCTCCTCTGATAAGTGTGAGGCCGACCATTAATGGGTTGAAATTGGAGCTATATTTGGAGAAGCCATACTCTAATTCCTCAATGCGATCTAATTCTGTGACGTTGAACTCAAAATACCCATTTGCCTCAGTCCCCAGAATCAGTCCTGCGACTACAAACCCTAACAAGAAAAGCTTCCTCATTTCTCTTACTCGTTGTTTCCAAGAGTCGGAAATGCTTAGAGCAGAAAAAAAGGATCAGACTTTTGAAAGGACCTCAAACAAATGCAAGAACTTGCATGTGTTGTGGTGAAAGAACCGATCTCTGTTTCAGCTTTTAATGAGGAACAAGAAGAAGAAAGAGACAGAGCAGAGCAGTGAAGAAGACTGTTTAAGGAAAAAAAAAAAAAAAAGATTTCATGGCTGGATTCACGTTTGGAATCTCATTTGCCTTTGGTTTTTCTTAATTAATTAATTGATTTTATGCTAATAAAGGGTTATTATAATAATCGTAATTACGACAGACTATCTTTTTGTTTATACTTGAAAGTTGAAACACACATTATCAAACAAGAGGAAAACCATACAACTAGTACTTTAATTTTATGGTATTTTTCTACATCACGCTTTGGAAATTATGATTTTCCAGAAGCACAGCAAAATCAAAATCATGACTCATGAGCGATAATTACGGAATTGGTGATCATGTAACGCCCTACCCCTTAACCATTTGGCTTTAAAACATTCTTTAAAATATCAAACATACAATCATTGTTTTGATTGAGTCTGAAGTAATCAAGGATGTCAAATTAATAGTACTACGCAAAAACATAAACCCTATTTTGTCAAAGAGTGGGAAATAAAATCCAAAATAAGAAACTCAAATTTTAATGCATAGTCCTACAGTACTAATAATTTCAAAATTTACATATTTCATCGCTTCCCTATCCAGAATAAGTCCAAAAATCTTTGACTAAACAATAAAATGCCATAATTTAAGGAGAAAAAAGAAAACAAGATGATAAGCTAAATGTCTTATTGTATAATCGGTTTGAAAATTAATGGATGGGAGAGAAATAGAAAGAAAGTGGTGGGGCTGTTTATAAATCCGATGCACATGTTACGCTACCACAGAACAAACACCCCCAAACGCTACGGTGCTATCTTCCCCACTCAACTCTATTTTCTTTTTCTTTAACCTTTGTTTTCAATTTATTTGCGTTTGAGCTACAATCATTGGTTGTTAACATTTCAACCTTTCATCTAATCAATGCTCCATAGTTTAAAACGTTTTTTCTTTCTTCTTTTTGGGTTGTAATTGTCAACACTTAGAATTTTACCCATTCCTATTGTTTGTTTGAAGACTTATCAAGTTCAAGTGTAGGTAAGGTAGTTTAGAAGCCTTTTTGCGGTCCTTTAAGAAAATGTTGAACCTTGTATCCCTAGCAAGAACCTCCATTTTCTAGTAATAGGAGGGAATTGGGTAAAAAGATTGGCTCAATTCACCCAAAATATTAGGGGACGGACTTCCTTAAGTGTAATGTTCCCGGCCGCTCATTCCGACGATCCCTCCGTCGGGTTGTTCGTGTACTCCATTCATGTTTGATGGTTGGTGCGTTATTTTTTCTGGAGCTCAACCGACTTATTTACTGACCATGTAATCACCAGATGATCTTTTCATGTGTTTTGGTCTCATTCACATGGTTTCAGGAATCACTTCCTGAAAAGTCACCCATCACAGTCCTATTCCAGCTTAAACACCCTTAACTGTGGAGTTCTCTCGATACCAATAATCGAAAAGATAAGTACACTTTAATAACATAAATAGCTAAATTAATCTATTTAAACTTATTCAAATGGGTCAGGCCCGATCATTACGATTACGATAAGTTTAATAAGTTTAAGGATTTAATTGTAAACTTTGGAAATACGAAGGGCACCGTTGTTCGCTTGTATTATCCCGTGGGGTGTAATTAATATGTACGTTTCTCCATAAAATCGTGTCGGTGTGAGCTTAGAGTGTAAATACTAGTACTATATAACTTATAAATGATCACGTACCACCACCGTTTCTTAGGCAATGTTTTGCATAATAATGATTATATTCATTCTCGATCAATATTATTTATATAAGGTAGTCGACATTAGAGAAAGATCACGTTGCACCACCGTTGCGTTCTTTGGTTTTTACTCCCAGCCCCATACGATTCCCATGCACTAATAATAGAACGTCCCGTGTTCATATACATATATAGTAAAAAAAATGAATTCAAATATACTTATGTGGTCGTTTGTGTAAAGGATACTTGAATTCAAATATAAGTTATCATTTGTATCACTTTATCAACTAAATAATATATCTATAAATTAATAAAATTTCATGATTCTAACATTATTAATTTATAGAAGTTTTACTGTATATGCAGTTTCATTTGCTCCATTATTTGGTTTATTATTAACCGTTTTTCTTTACAGTTTTATAAAAGAAAATAAAGATACATATAAAACATTTGGATTATATTCACTTCTGAATTATTTTTTTAAAGAATTAAAGGATATTCACTTTAAACTGGACATATAAACCAAATTTAATTGAAAATTCGTACTGAATTTAATGGACTCTTTTTTTTTAGGTTCAACTAAACTAATTATAATATTTTATCTTAGGATAATCTTATACATTCAATATTGGGTCCTTCAAAATTAAACCGAACTAGCAGAAGATGCATCTACTGAGCCATAGCATATGGGCCTTAGCCACTTAATAGGCTTATTTGCATCTATGGAGCCATAGCATATGGGCCTGAACCACTTAATAAGCTTATTTGTGTTAACAGGCCTGGTATTTGGTAACATATCAAACCTCACAAAGTTGACCAATCAATCACGAATGGATTTAATTAATATATAGAGCCCACACGTGCTGAAGAGGCGGGAAAACTACATCGCCGGCGTCCCCTGAGAGACCAGTCACACATTCGCTCGCTAATTCGCGGTTTTCTCTGTCATATCGCCATGGGTATCAAGGTCTGATGGGTTTACTACGAAAAAAATGATTACTTGTTGTTTCAATTTGTTTGTTGCGATTCCTGAATTCGATCTAATAGTGCCTGTGTTTTGTCGGGTGGAAATGTCTGATTTTTAGGGTTTAACGAAGCTTTTAGCCGACAATGCGCCTAATGCCATGAAAGAGCAGAAATTCGAGAGCTACTTCGGTCGGAAAATCGCCGTTGATGCTAGCATGAGCATTTACCAGTTCCTTGTTCGTTCCCTTTTACTTCGTATATCAATCTCATTTCGCAACAATCACTCAAAGAGTGTATCTTTCTATAATGTGAAATCCTGAGAATCGATGTGAACGCAGATTGTGGTGGGGAGAACTGGGACTGAAATGCTCACGAATGAAGCTGGTGAAGTCACTAGGTTACAAGCCATTACTCTCTCTCTCTCTCTCTTTCCACATTTGTAGCGATTTGGATCTCTTCGCATCTTTTAGCATTTGCTACTTTTATGAATTCTAAAGTTATGTCTCTCTCTCTGTACACCTAGCCATTTACAAGGGATGTTTAATCGAACGATTCGTCTTCTCGAAGCTGGAATTAAGCCTGTGTAACGTTCTTCTCCCTCATTCTTTTTTTTTACTTTCTCTGTGTGTTTTCCTTTTACTGCTACTTTCGACTAAATTAGTTCTGAATTTCGCTGCAGCTATGTTTTCGATGGGAAGCCCCCGGAGCTAAAGAGACAAGAACTAGCAAAACGGTAAACTTTTACTCTCCTGACTTCTGCAGCACAAATTGAATATTAGCTTGAAAATGCTAACGTGAGTTTATTAACTGTTTGTTCACTATGTGTTTACCCTTGATTCAGTTACTCCAAGAGAGCTGATGCAACTGCTGATCTGACTGGTGCAATTGAGGTTTGGTACTCTTACTTGCCTAGCTTTAATTTACACTTACTCCCGAAAGAGTGTAAATTTAGAAGCTTTTCAATGCTGACAGGCAGGAAACAAGGAGGACATTGAGAAGTACAGCAAACGAACTGTGAAGGTAGTCCATTCTTTTTCCATCTGTGAATCTTTGGACTCCTTAGTTTTGATAGCATCCACTTCAAAGAAACTGAGTCTGGGAATTTTATTAATACATGTATAAACCTCCCTCTCTCCAGGTGACAAAACAGCACAATGACGACTGCAAAAGGCTCTTAAGACTCATGGGGGTGCCTGTTGTTGAGGTACTTATCCGCAAAATCCCCATGGCCTGAAAATCTCTGCTTTTAATTGAAATGGCTAATTGATGTTTTTCATTCAAATACAGGCCACTTCTGAAGCAGAAGCGCAATGTGCTGCACTTTGCAAAGCAGGAAAGGTCTGTATTATTTTCTCTGCTCTCTTTATAGGTGTTTTTTCTGACACTTAAGAGCCAGTGTCTCAAGCTTGTGTAAGTAAAGGTATATCAGCTGCAATGTTTCCTTATGATATGATTCTATCTGTTTAGGTGTATGGTGTGGCTTCTGAAGATATGGATTCCTTAACTTTTGGAGCTCCTAAGTTTCTTCGCCACCTGATGGATCCAAGCTCCAGAAAGATCCCTGTCATGGAATTTGACGTTGCTAAGGTTTCCCTCTCATAAACACTAAGCTTTAAGTAATTGAGGTCATATCTGATCTTGTGGTCTACTTTTAGATATTAGAAGAGCTTCAACTTACAATGGATCAGTTCATCGACTTGTGCATTTTGTCGGGATGTGACTATTGTGACAGCATCCGAGGTATTTAGAGTTTTTTTTTTTTTTTTCTCTTTTTGTATCTATTAAGTGTGGGTGAAATAGATCAACATTGTGGTTTCTTTCTCTATTAAATGTAGAACGCAGGTTTGAAACTAATATTCATCTCTGTGCCACAGGTATCGGTGGGCAGACTGCCCTAAAGCTCATTCGCCAGCATGGATCTATTGAGACTATACTCGAAAATATAAACAAAGAAAGGTTTAACTCTGAATTATCATTTGTCAAAGAGTAATTTGATTTGTGACGATATATGGAATTTATGATATAACAGTTCAAACTAACCAATATAAGTGTGAAAAGGTTATATAGCTTGCGTAGTTAGTCTAGTTGGCTGCTCATTACCTGTCTCTCTTGCTGAAAACATTTCTCTCCGGGACGCATCAACATAACCACATATCTAAGAAGCATTTTTCTGTGAATTTGTAGACTATCCTAAATTGAGTTCTTACTTTTGACATCTGTTGTTCCAAGAAATAATAGCCTAATGCGTTAAAGACTTCTATCATTTTGCTATATTATGTAGGTATCAAATACCTGAGGAATGGCCGTACAATGAAGCTCGGAAACTTTTTAAAGAACCTGATGTCTTAACTGATGAAGAGCAGCTTGATATCAAGTGGACCTCTCCAGACGAAGAGGTAAAAGCCTAGTTCTCCCCATTTCTGCTCCACCCATGCTTTGGATTCTTCGGGACATTTTCTTAGTAACCTTTTTTTTTCTTCCTTTGGCAGGGTATAGTTCAGTTTTTGGTGAATGAAAATGGATTCAACATAGATAGGGTGACCAAGGTATGTTATCATACTTTGTTCCGTATTGCCGTATAGGAGCAATCCTTTTTTTTTTTTTGTAACAAAATACTGTGGATGATCTGATTTTCTTATATAGGCTGTAGAGAAAATCAAATCTGCAAAGAACAAGTCATCCCAAGGAAGGTTTGCTCCTTTCGAACAAATTAGTGGTGATTTTAGCGTGTACCTTTCCCTTCCACTCATTTCTTTCTTAAACATTTCGCAGGCTGGAGTCATTTTTCAAGCCAGTTGCTACCTCATCCGTGCCTGCTAAGAGAAAGGTTTGTCTCTTACAATTTTATATATGGTACAACCCATTAGTTCTTAAGCTTCTTTTTTCTACTTTTACATGAACTTGTACATCCTATCAGATTATTGGTTCTTGAAATATTGATTTTCTTCATGCGTTCTGCCTGCATCTTGTGATTATGACTTCATTGCGTCCATGTTCCTGTACTAGCCTGCCAAAAACTCTTTAACACATGTCCACAAGTGGATGGAAACATATGTTCACTTTAGGTAAAGTTTATATGCTTAGTCGTCTCTGAGGTCAATATACTGGATCACAGGGAACCAAATGCTTGCTCCAGCAGTATAAACCGGCTATCAGCAATAAAGTGATCTCTCTGCATGGTTTTGGCTGGAACACCTCCAGTAACATTGTTATCCCTAGGCTGTTCTCTGTACCCCTCGGTTCCAACCTTTCTGTTCAAATGGCTGGAGCTGGCATATGCTCAAGAACTTAACCATCACGGTGAACATTTAAAATCAATCTGACATAGTTTCTATAGTTCTATTTAGCTCATATGTTTAGCATTCGGCTTTGACCTGCAATCTATCAGATATAGACTAAGCGCCTCCATTCTTAAGATCCCTGGGATCAATAGAACACCTCTACATTGCGTTTCACATGTTTCTAGATATACCTCGATCATTTGGTGTTTATGAACTGCTTCTTACTTGCGAACAGGAACTCCCAGAGAGTAACGCCAAAGGAGCAGCAAGTAAGAAAACCAAGGGAGGTGGTGGGAGGAAGAAGAAGTAGATCACAGTACCAACTGTTTCAAGGCTGTATAAGTTAGTACGCTTTCTGCTGCGAAGATCTGAGAAGAAGATCAATAAAGTGTGATTTGGCTTTCCTAGGTCTAAGTAGTCTGTTTGCTTTTTGTTTTACCATGATATAACCGTTTTAATCTTTGCTTTCTCGGTGGTAGAAAACTAGTCAGGTTTTGGACTTAATTTGCATTTCTGTTAAGGTATGATCATCATGGTTTGTATCTTGACAAAGGGAAGAATTTGTGCTTGTGTATTCGCTTGCTAATTTGCAGAACTCGATGTTATTTAATAGCAAGGCTCCAGTTCAAATTACATGTACGATATAACAAAGATTCATCACATCATATAAAGCAAAACAAATAGATATGAAACAAGATAATGTAAGAAACAATATTCTTGACTAAAGATTGCAGTAGTATTTTACATGATGGTGCAGCCGCTTCCGCTTTCGGTGGTGGTAACTGTTACGACGTCACAGGGGTAAGGCATGAAAGGCCTGCTGCACCACTCGAGCATGCACTCTGGAATGGGCTCTTTTTTGGGCTCAGGAGGTTTTGGTGGCCCAACGCTGACTACTACTGGTTTCTGTTTGATCTTCCTGAGCTGTGCCACAACGCAGATCGGGTCCATTGTGCCCACCACCGTAAGTAAGCTCTTCTCTTCATCCAGCGCCACCGAATTCACACCTGCATTCAAATCTCTCTTCTTTTTAATTTCATCTCTCATCATATTTTAGTAACACTTTATTCTTTTTTTCTTCCTTAATCATACCTTCTAGCTCTGCCACAGTCTGCATGATTGCGTTTTTGCATTTCTGACAGTCGATATCCACTTTGATCTCGACTTTCTGCTCAAAAACAGAAAAAAAAAAATGATTCATGAATAGAGAAACCTTGCTATTCATTTTTCATTTGAGTAGTATGAACATGTTTTTACCTTAACCGTCATGATGATGGAGATGAATTGGGAAGAATATGGATTGTGGAATTTAGAAATGAATGGAGGAGAGGAAAATCAGAAAGATTTAAAGAGAGAGAGAGAGAGATGGATGGAGCATTCGAGTTTTTGTCTCTTATTGTACTCATTTCTCAACATCTTCGTTTAATATAAGAATCGTCTTTTTTAGGACCGACTTGACTTCGATTAAGTCTTTGGAATCCCAAACCTTTGCGTCAACGAACTCTCTGTAGCCATATACGTATACATATGTGACATGTGTTTGTGTACAAAGAAATATTAAACATATTTACATTTTGAATTATTGAATTAGGATTCTTGGTGGCATTTACATGGTGGATACATAACATCTAATATGGACTCAACTTGAACTTGTGATTTTGTTCAAGAGGGAATTTGTTAGTCCCTAAGTCGATCCTATTTGTAATTGACTCTTTATTTTATATCTCTATTAACATAATAATATGGTTTGCACTGACATTTGACGTTTGACATTTGACAGTTGACAATGACATCTTAGCGGACAATCTCTGTCTTCCTTTTGTCAGATTCCGGTTTCATTTGGCTCGTACATAACTAACCGGACCGTAAATCAGCAAATGTCCCCGGTTTGGTTATTTAAGTAGAACGAGATCAGTTTGGATTCAGTTGACCAAAACAAAACTTTGTGAGTTATAAAACCTAATAACCAGCCAACTTTCACTTTTTATTTATTTGTTTTTGAAAGTTAATCATTTGAGTTTGGTGATTCGGACATTAGTAATTACCAGGAAGATAAGTTATTTTTGGTGAGTTTCCTCGTACGGTACTTACTAGATATTAGTTTAGATGTCTCTGTCCTCCAATAAAACAACCCTGTTAATCAGAACCGCCCTACATATTAACTAACAATTAAAACCCCAAAACCTAATCTTGGCTAAATTAAGGCCTAACCCCACATTTCGCAATTGGCCTAATTATAAACCTTCAATATTATAAGAGCACCAATTTTAGAGCTTCTCAATTCGTTGATTTATTCTTAATTATAAAAAAAAAAAAATCAGCAAAGAACAAACTCTCTTCGGAAGATAAACAATAACAACAATAATGGCGTCTTTTGCGACCCATCTTGTTGTTGTTGTCACCATGTTGGTTGCATCCGTGGCCGTCGCAGATTCCAACATGCTTCAAGATGTTTGTGTTGCTGATTTGTCTAATGGTATTTTACACTCTCCAATCATATATATTTTGTTCGAATTAGTTTTATTTGATGTTTTTGAATTTCTGCTGATTATGTTTCGATTTCTTTCGTTATTCATCGTCAGAATAAAGAAATATAGCCATGCTTCCTATTAATATTTTAGGTTTTTAATTTCTACGGGATATTATATTTTTTTCCTACCGAACTTTAAATTATATCAGTAAGAAAATACTCACCATGAAACCAATTGTAAAATCTTGAAACGAAAATGAGAGCCATATTCTCAGTTGATGTTCATATCTTTGAATTTATCTGGATTTAATTGATTGATAATTTGATACATCGTTTCTTATTATAAAATTAATTTTCTCATCTTTTCTGAAGGAAAAATAGTATATTTGTAATTGTATCTTAAGATGTAAGTTTGAAAGTTGTTACATTTGACATAACGAATTCAATAATCGAAGCAAAAAGTAGGTGTGGAAAACATAGGATTGAATCTTCAAACATTCTTTTCAAACAGCATACAAAAAAAATTTGCATAATTTTTAAAAACAAAACTCTGTTTATAATTCCTTTCTTCTTTCAATTTTTTTTTTTTGTTTCGATTTGGCAAGAGCTTCCCGCCAAATATGTCCTAATATATTAAACATTTTCTCTTTCGATTTTTCCGAAAAAAATGAAGCGGTCAAGGTCAACGGATACACTTGCAAGGATTCGACACAAGTAACACCGGAAGACTTCTACTCCCAGGGCTTGGCCTCCGCTGCCGCAACCAACACCCCCACCGGTTCAGTCGTGACCGGAGCCAACGTGGAGAAGCTACCAGGACTCAACACTCTCGGCCTCTCCATGTCCCGCATCGACTACGCACCAAACGGCCTAAACCCACCGCACGTGCACCCACGTGCCTCCGAGATCATCTACGTCCTCGAAGGTCAGCTCAACGTCGGCTTCGTAACAACCGCCGGGAAACTCATCGCCAAAAACATCAAGAAAGGAGACGTTTTCGTTTTCCCGAAAGGGCTTCTCCATTTCCAGAAGAACACGGCCAATGCTCCAGCCTCCGTAATCGCAGCTTTCGATAGCCAACTGCCCGGAACACAGTCCCTCGTGGCATCTCTCTTTGGAGCTCTTCCCGAAGACATTCTTGCTCAGTCGTTCCAGATCAAACCCAAACAGATCAAGAAGATCAAATCCAGATACCCAGCCAAGAAATGATTTAAGAAAAAACGTAATCTTGTTCTTCTTCTTCTTTTTTGGTCTCTATTGTAAAACACTAAGCAAAGAAGAAAGAGATAAAGTTTGCAACTTTAAACTAAAAGCAAAGAAGATTCCATTGTCTTAAAAAGGAGAATTCTTTAACCTAAATAGCAAATTCATTTCCCAACACAATTTTCATAAAATGGGTAAAAAAATGAAAAAGAGTTCCTTTTTGTTGTCTGTGCCTCATTCCCTCAGTTAGCAGCCAATGGCTGGTGTTGCCTTCCATCTGGAATTGAGAATAACACAATGGGTTTCGACGATTTGACAAATGGCACATCGCACCTGTAATAGCCTTTCCTCTCAAGCTGAATCACATCCCCACGCTGCAGATTCCTCATATTCGAATCACCAAGTGCCAATGTTTCCTTCTTCGTGTAAGGATTCACAAAAGTAGCAACTTCATCATCTTCTTCAAGCTGTGTTGCAGCAAAAAGAAACAAAAAGAGAGAAAGATATCAGTGACTTCGAGAGAGAGAGAAGACAACGATGTATAAATGGCATCAACCGATTCTTACCTTCTTCTTGGTGATCAAATAATCAAAGTCCGTTAATGTGAGCTTGACCAAGTCGTTAATCTCGGGAAGCCAAGTGAGCTTCAGCTTCGTAGTCTTCACAGATCCTTGGAGATTCAGAACGCCGGATAACGCAGTGACACGACCCTCCTCGTCCTTGGTGATTTCCTTCACAATAGCATTTCCCCAATCCATCAAAGTTACTTCCTCACCAACAGAGATGGCACTCGCATCGACTCCTTCGATCCAAATGCTCTTTGTGAAAGTGGTCGCCTTTTCTCCGGCACCTTCAAATTTCTTGTGCTTTGGTATCAAGCGGACAAACGGCTCATCAGGACCATCCGTTAAGGTCAACAGCACACGCCGCTCTTCAACCACAGCCGTATGTCTAGGGCACACAGGATCAACTATCTTCTTGTTAATAGACCAGAGCTTGTCCCATTCCATCAAATTTAGATTCTTCGAAGCACCCTGGAAACGTAAAAGAAACGACAGAGTTATTACAGAACATCATTCACAAGAGACTAAGCAACAAACGAGAGAGAAAGATTTTACCTGCTCGAGAATGAACTGGATCAAAGCCTCGATTTTCAAACCTCTGCGCACAATTCCTTGCACTGTCGGGAAACGTGGATCATCCCACCCGCCAACCAAACCCTGCTGGACAAACCAGAGAAGCTTGCGCTTGCTGAGAAGAGTGTAAACCAGATTTAACCGGCTGAATTCGTAAAGCTCAACCCTTCGCATTCCCATGTCCTCCAGAACTTTGTAGTACTGAGCATTCCGGTCATGATACTCACTAGACCTAAGGGCATGCGTTATACCTTCAAGAGAATCCACAAACGGGCAAGCAAAGTCGTACGTAGGATATATCTTATACTTATCACCGATACGGTGGTGAGTCATAGGGTTGCATCGATAGTAAACCGGGTCTCTCATGGCTTTGTTAGGATCTTGCATGTTTAATTTCCCACGAACACAGCACTCTAACCCTCTCTTACTTCCCGCAATCATTTCCTTCCATAGCTTCAAATTCTCCTCGACGCTATGATTCCTGCATTTTGAATCAATCCCATCCATCCTCTCTTTCTGCATAACTTCCCTCGGCGTGTCATCAACATACGCCTTACCCTCGCGCATCAGCTTCTCCGCCATTTCCATCAGCTCAGGAAAGTAATCAGAAGTGTACGTCACTCTCTCGTACTTGATCCCCAAGGTCCCAATATCCTTCACAAGGTTATCCACAAACTCAGTGCTCTCTTTAGCCGGGTTAGTATCATCAAAACGCACGATCACTTCCCCTTGGTAGCGCTCGGCGAAATACTTGTTGAGCAACGCGGCCTTGGCGTGTCCAATGTGAAGATAACCGCTCGGTTCAGGAGCAAACCGGAGCCGGACCTTTCCCATCTCTGCACCAGGCAAGTCCACTTCAGGTTTCCCTTTATCATTAGCGTCTGATTTCAGAGCTTGTTGTTGGTCTTTGGACTTCGGTGCAGCAACAGGCTTCCCTGAGCCTTTCTTAACAGTGTACGTTGCTACCACCTTGTTGAGTGGCTCGGTGTACTCGAGCAATATCGAATTGAACCATCTAACCAAATTCTGATACTTTTTCGATTTCCTCAAGCTTTCCCATCTCGGGCCAGATCCTGACAACAGTGTGTTAAACTAATAATGAGCTTTCAAATATCAACAGAAAGTTTTCATCTTTTGATTCAGCCAAATTCATAGCAAGATGATGAGTTTTTGTTTACCAGCAAGAGCAGACCAAATAGCGACATCAGCAATGGAAAGAGAATGGCCAACAAGAAACGTGAGACTCTCGAGGTACTTATCGACGCGAGTGCAAGCATTCTCAAACTCTGAACCAGTGGAGAAGACAGGAGCGTAATCTACCCACTCATCAATCTGATAATGATCCAGAAGAAGAAGAAGAAACAAAACAAAAGGTTTAATACATCAGAAGATTCGTGCTATGATGAAAAAAAAAAAGAGGCTGATAGAATAGAAGAGACCTGGGAAGATTCAAAAGCATCGCGGCCGTAGAAATCAGGAAGCGTGTTCGCAGATCGACCAACATAGCGAAGAAGAACGGACGCACCACTCAGTTTCCGCCTAAAATCCAGAGCCAGAAGAAGAAGGTCTCAGAGAAGAGTTAGGGGAAAAGAAAGAAGGAATCAGACCCGGAAAAAGGAAAGTACCCGTCGGAGAAGGCAAAAGTAGGGACGGTGGTAGCGATGGCGGAGGAGTCGATAGTGACCGGAGAGGCTGAGAGAGCGATAGCAGCGATGACTGAAAGTGGTGGAGTATCCGCTGGGAAAGAAAGCTTAATCCCTTCCATCTCTCCTTCCTTTGAGCGAGATGAATCTGAATCGAAACACCTCAAAATCCAATAAATACAGATCAAACAATTGGGCAATGGGTTAAGAGTTGGAGAGATGAGAATGAAACAATGGGCGGCGAAGAACACCGATAAAAGAGCGTACCTGGTATTAGGTTTTTTTAGGGTGAGGACGACTTGGGAGGACGCTCAAAGGTTTTTACTTTTTAAGGAGATAGACGACTTCAGTGTAAACGCGATACAAAGCATAATTTACAACTCAGAAAATTTGGTACATCTTAAAATTAATTTGGAATTTTTAACGTGTTTAAATAGGTAAATGTGACAATTTGGGATACATTAATTCGTGTGTGAAAACTACTGTATGTGTATGTCTCTATATGTGTGTATATAGTTTTCTATGTATTGATCACTTCAGAAAGTTCATCAAGATCGATAATCAATACAATTACTTTTGAAATTATATCATTAGCAAGTAGATTATATCCCTCGATAAAAAATCAATCTTGGTGGCCTAGTTTTGAGTCAAGTTGAAAATTAATGTTGAAACACTAGGCCACTATGGTTCTTTTTGTACTATAAATGTTGTAGTCCATAAAGCATCAACTTTTACATAATTTATCTCAATTTGGATTAAAAATTATACCATTTGCAAGTAGATTAACTCTCAAATTAACAAGATTGGCATTCTTTGGGTTAAACATTTCCACAAGAAAGACTGAAAGAGAGAGAGAGAAAGATCATATGTTTTGAGTTCACTGGGATCCACTGTTTTCTCCTAGCATTGTATATTTGTATGTAACATGTATATGTTTGAATCTCTCTATACATCATTTGGAGATGAACTCCTGATAAGCTCCAAATGCAGAGGCGATTCAGAAAACGTTAACACTTACACATTGTTGAACTCAAACCGTGTCATAGACTCATTGCTAACATTTCAAATCAAACAAACTCTGTTTCAATAGACCTAATAAATATGTATCCAACTCGACGATACAGAAAATGCTTTAGTGCTTCTTCTTGCGAAAGATATCTTTTCTTTGGACAGATTCATTGCTTAACTGCTTATATGATAAAGAAACTTTTGTGCTTTCTTCTTCAATTCACGAAACCAGAGAGACTTGATCAATGAGTTTCTCAATTCTCAACCAAACCCTAGTACAATCCACACATCGTAAACAATCTGCCGAGACATCCTTATAAACCTAGCCGTCACTAACTGCTCTCTAACCAAGTCACAACATGCCAAAATCCATAATCTACTACATTCAGTCCTAGGTTAATTATAGTAAGGCTTGAGCATCTGAACTTCCTCAAATAGACCCACTGTCACTATCCAAAATTTATTATGAACATTCAGCTTATATCATGAGCATGATCTCCAACAAAGCTAAAGATAACTCAAATTCAATGAAAGCTGTAACCTAACCGTATCAATCACACTCCTGCTACACGAATCAGATTCAATACACAATTTGCTTAATCATACTGATAGATGATGAATGATGATACTACTCTGCACAGAGCTTTCTTAAAGAATGATCATTGGTCTGGAACATAAGAAAAACACTCATAGGCATTGATGGATTTAACCAGAAGAAGAATATCGAATCTATACAGATTGATTGAGCAACAATTAAAAAAAAAATCCCCAAAATTCAAAAACTATAACAAGAATCAACCCCAAATAACCAAACTTACACAAATCACCGATGTGGATTGCAGTCATCAGAGCAGAAATCATTGGTCTCTAACATAACTCTGAGCATCTCATGAGTGAAGCTTTCATCGTTAGGGTCAGAAGATGGGGAAGAAGGAGATTCCTCCTCCTCTGTTCTGCGAGGTCTCATCATAGAAAAGCATCCTCCTTTACGCGACCCAGAACTCGGAGAAGGGGAAGAAGATCGTTTCGGCGATTTGGGTTTCCTTCTGAACTTGTCTACAAATCGCTTCCTCGTCTTCGAAATCGAGGGCATTACCAATTGATTCCCCTTCTCAAAACCATCCGCGACTCCATCTTCTTCTACATCGTCGTCCTCCTTCTTCTTCTTCCTCCTCCTCCTCGCCCTCTTGTTGTTATCGTTATCGACGCCGGTCTGTTCGTCCACCGAAATCTCCCCGTGATTTCCAGGCATTAACCAGACGCAATTTCCGATTTCAGATAGCAAAAAAAAAAAAGAAGATCGGAACCGTATCGCGGAGATCGAACGGTGGCTGAGAAATTGAGAGGAGAAAGGAGTTTGATTATGTGCTCCTAATTCGCTGTTGTCTCCTCCACGGCTTCTCACTAGGTTTCCTTTTCCAATCAAAAAAACCTTCGCTGTCTCTTCTCTCTCTCTTTACCAATTAATTGCGTGTTTAACGACTTTATTAATTTAATAATTCATTTAGTAGATTCGGTATCGCTGCTGTTTTTTTTTCTTTTATTCTTTAGAGTAAAATCCGTTCCAAACTGATATAGGTTATTTCTGTTTTTATTTTCTCCTCAAAGTTATTACTGTTTGACTATTTGTCGACAACAACAAAAAATTCTTACTGTTTTGGGCATATTTTTCACCAATCACTACTCACCAATTAGTTTTTAACACGTGTCATTTGACTTTGTGATCCCAAGCGAAGCTCGTTGAGCTTAATTCGACGAGGTCCTTGACAAAACAGGACAAACTGAATTAAACTCTTTAACCCAATTGTAAAGTACTCTAGCATTTATATCTTTGGACTCAATTGTTTTTAGGGGTGAGCAAAATATCCGTTATATCCGCTTTGAACCAGTATTTGCTTCGATCCGATTCAAAAAATCTGGATATCCGTAAAGTTTCGGAGCAAAGCAAATAGCAAAATATAGTATCCGTATAAAACGGAGCAAATCACAAATATGTTTTTAGACAACGTCGGATATCTGATCCGATCTGTTTCTTTATAAATTTATTATATATTAGTATATATTATCATGTATATATCAATTATATTATAATTTTTTATTAATATACTTTCGATTTTCTTCCTAAATTTTCAACTTTTTCTAAATTCTTTTGATTATATAAAATAAATGACTAAATAACCAATTATAAAAATAAATGATATGTTTAAACTTAAAATATGTTAATAAATAATATTTTATTTGATATTAGTTAATAAATATCAACAAATGTTTTTTAGTAAAGTTTAATATTAAAGTTTCAAATACTTAATATTATTTTTAAATATAAAATATTATTTTTTCCTCATCTTAATTTTGTAGGTTTATTTTTTATAGATTTTTTATAAGATAAAATATATTTTCACTTAATAGTTTAGATGAAAAATATTTTTTTTATAATAAAATTGATGTACTTTCAGTTTTGCGTATATTAAACGGATCAAACTAAATATTCATAAATATCCATAAATATCTGCAAATACTTGTAAATTTTCTGGATATCCGAAAATCCAGATATTCGTATATTTCCAGAGCAAATCAAATCATAAAATTAAATATCTGTTAAAAACGTAGCAAACCACAAATAATTAAAAAATTTCGGATAAGATTCAATCTAGCAAATCTTAAAAAAGCAATGAACAGTTCTTTGCATCTTTTTTTAGTCATTGTGCATTCAAACTCAAGTAAATTAGTTCGATTTAAATTTACGGCCGTATCTATAAATTAAAGGTATCAATGCTTTGATATGTAATTTGTGGAAATGCCAACATTTCACATTTCACAATTTACGATTCAGCATATGATTTATCAACAATAATTTTTTTGTTAATTGAATTACTGATGTGAAAAAACAAGAAAAATAGTCAGTTTTGTTTAAACTACTTAGGAAAATAATTTGATGATTTACTACTTCGGTTGATTAAATTATTTAGGAAAATGCAGATAGAGGTAAATTATTCTGCCATTTTCTTTGGAAATTCCAATATGCAACCACATGTATATAGTCTAGAGTTTAATTGTCACACTGCAACTCTTACATGACTTTGAGGAATCCACAACTCTTTTTTTGTTTTGGAAACATTCGAAGATTCTCACACGCTCCAAATTTTTTGAGACAAGGAGATGGAGCTTCAGTGCCTCGACGAAGTGATTTTTCCACGAACTGATGATAACATTTTGTGTGATAACATAACCCTCGAGGAGGAGTCTTCGGAGAATGAAATAACGTTGCTGATTCCGTGGCAAGATATGCGAGAATTCTGACAAACGTTAGGAGAAACGATCCTCGCATTGTTTACATAAAGCCCCGACCCACCGGATCTTGTGATGGTGAACATTTTGTCAGGGATGCTACAAGGAACAAGAGTTTTGTTTGGAAAACGAAGCATGTGGTTGATCAAAAGCCACGCAGGGATCGTATGTCTTAGGATAAATGTCTGAAGATCCTCTCGACTCATGTCTGCTTGAGAGAGATCGTCGTCGCTAGGCATCAAGAAAGTGATCTCTTGGTTCCTGAACAAGTTTGTATCGTTGAGGATGTGGAGAAGGGTGACAAAACCGTAGTAAGATTCCCTTCTCATGTCGGAAATGGCAGAGGCGAAGTCGCTACTTTGGTTGTCATGCCTCAATATTATGGGAGTTGGACGTGGCTCGACGGATGCAAGAGTCGCGACAAGAAAGAAAAACAAAGAAGCCACTATTAGGAAAAGCGATCTCATACTAGATGATATCGGAATCATCATCACTTATGTCAATTCTAAAAACTTTGCAAACGAACTTATATACTACGTGGGAAACTCAAAAGTTCATGAATATTAAAAGTTAGTACTAAACCGGTATCAGACTCGTGGTGATTAGTTGATGCATGGTTGATTCATGACCTCAACTTTTTTTTCACCTAGTAAGTGTGACAAGAATACTCGTGTGGGATTTCTCTCTCTCAGTCATACTTCATCCGTTGCAAATTTTCTTTTATCATATTATGATAATTGTAAGTTTTCACTAGAAAAGAAATACAAAATAAACAAAGGAAGTAGTTCATCGTTTTATAAGTGGTCATGAGACAACAAAATCAAACCATAGGCTTGAATTGCACCAAATACTATGTATTGGACTACTACATAAAGAATACTCCAACAGAGTTAAAAAAAAAAAACAAGAAGACAAACACAAAATTGTGCTACACAGCAAGTATAACCGAACCAAAATAAACACACACATATATATACATCCACAGTCAAGTAAAGAAACAAAAATCAAGAAAAAGATTTAGAAGAAGAAAATTAGGAGTTGAGAGGGATTAGTGAAGAACAAGATCATTAAAACCGCGTTTAGAGGCTAAGCCAATAACACACAACATGTAAAAAACTTTCCCACTCTTCACTTTTGCTTTTACTATTGCCTTTCCCTTCTCCACTACTCTCATCTTAGCTTTAACCAACATTGGCTTCTGCGATTCTCCTAACCGCTCTCGCTCTTCTGCTTCGGGTTCCTCCTCTATCGTCTCTAGCCTCCCCTTTAGTATCTCCTCCAAGTCTTTCCCCAACTCATATATTCTCTTATTCTGTCAAATCACAAATACTTTTTAAAAACATTTCTAGTAGTGAAAATATATGAATCTGAATCTCAGGTCCTTGCTACATATATAAACCTCGCAATCGCGGTGTAAGTTCCTCTTGTTCAACCTTCGATGTACAACCCACCACATCTTCCTATACACGAAACTCCTCATATAAACCTTCTCCTTCTTCAAAATCGTTTCTTCTTGTCACATCAGTTTCTTTAAAAGACTGCAGAAAATGTGATGGCTTTTACCAACCCTTTCACAGCTTTATAATGATACTTGTTGATTCGCTCAAAGTGACAAAAAAAAGTTGGTTACTTTACTTTACAGACAAGATTCAATCTTTAACTGTGTTGCTTCTCATTATAGCACATAGATATATAAAAAAAAAAACGAGGGTGGTTGTCACAAATCATCACATTCCGTTTTGTATAAGTCTTTATGTTCTGTAAAGTTGTCCTTTCCTTTATCATTCTATCTCTCTTCTGCCTTTTTCTTCTTCTTTTCTCTCCCTTAATTGATGCTTTATCTGTCACGCTTAATCTTCAGTGATTATATTAAATAATATGCTTTTGGAAAATTTACTAGTCTTTTTTCGTATATTGTCAACTACTAAGAGCAGGCAAAATAATCCAGTATAATGTACTTGGAACTCGAGTTCGAGTTTCACTACCATAACAATTAACATGGCGCATCGCATGTCTTAGGGAGAATAAGATCTATTAAAGAAGACTTTTCGTTTACTAATATGAGATTTGTGTAGGAAACAAAGTGTATCAAAGATAACTTGAGGAACGAGCTGTGTACTTTTTGCAAACCAAGTATATATAAGTAATGTAAAGTTGCTTCATTATTGGAATTTGGTAGACACAAACATACGATTATAAATCTCTTTTTTTCTGTTACATGTTGATAAGCATTCAAGAAAGTAGAGAGGACTCACTCTTCCACTTGTTCCCAACTATGGAAAATAAAAAGAAGATAATTTGAACATGGTTCTTATTTTTCCTCTGTTTCATTAAATCACAACTACAATAACATTTGTTTAACATCATAAAATACCATTTGGTTACATTTTCATCATTCCTCTGTTTTTGATCTCTTTTTGTCTATACGAAGTCACAAACGTCAAAATCAGAGTTTGTTCTCTAATACAACAGGGAAGCCCCAGTGAGAAGAGAGAATGAGATTGGGACAGAAACCTTCTCTGTTCATTTTATCTGTGATCCGCGTGTAAAGGCTCAAGATCCTTCTTGGTATAACCAGTGCCTTAAGAACCAGCCTCCTTGATCGGTTTAGCCTGAACCCTTTTGACCTACCCTCGATCTTCTTCCCCCAGTTATGTCTTATAGTTCTTGTCGTAACCTTCTCGTAATGATGACTTAGCTTCTGGTACCGGCATGATGATCTTGACCGGTACTTACCAATAATCTGCAGCATCTTGAGCTTATTTTGTTGTTGTTTTGAAGATACAAAACAGAGAAAAGAAGATGCTTTCAAAAGATTTTGTTTATCCAAGTGTTTGAAATTACTTCTACAACAAAGAAAACACTTAAATGAGTAATGAAACAAAAGAGAAACAGTTGAGTGACAAACAAAGAACACTCTGATGATGATTGATGAAAGAAGGGGCTCCATTAAATGATAAGAGAGTGAGGGAAAGATTCTGAAAGCACATGGCTATATTCTTATTTTGTTTTTATTAAAAAACCACAAATCCCCAAATCCTCTGAATTTTTTTGCAGTTCTTGTTCATCCACATAAGCCAGAGAGAGACTGAAGTTGCCATGTATTTGACCTATGTGGCTATGGCTGTCACATAAAAAAAAAAGAAGAGAGGAAAATTAAAGAATCGGTATGAAAACTGAGAGCCATGTGCAATGATTGAATAAGAGGTTTTATATCTAAGTAAGAGATTAAGGAGAAGAGAGAGCCACTACCTAAGCCAGCGGCGTAATCATTTGGCAACATGATTAGAAGAGAGGATAATGAGAAAGACAAAAGTCCCAGATGTTCATTTTTGTATTTTGGTTCAAGAAACTATTGAATCCAACAGTTATTACAGAACATATTTTGGTTCAAGAAAATATTGTATTTTGGTTCAAGAAAATGTTGTTTAAATTGGTTACGAAATCAAAGTTAGTCCAATTATCGTTAAATAAATAAATAAATAATAAAATCCTTTAAAACAGATTTTATTGCTAGGTAGATGAATTTCTTGAATTTGTGGAATGTGGAGGGTAGATTTGTTAATTTTTTTTCTTATCTATAAAATTTCCCAAAAATCAATAATAGTCAGGATTCAGGAAGTCGAAGTCCACTAAAGAGAAGAATTCACTTCATGATAGAGGACCCAATAGTGGCCTTCTTTTGGTTTGCACTAAGGGCCAAGGCCCATATAATAAGGAAACCGTACAAAAAGAACGAGTCTGAACTGTAAATTGAAGCTAAAGTTCACGTTTCTTGCATGACTTTCTCCGTACACACATAAACCCACTTTTTGTTTGACTTTCCTATTACCAAAACCAAGGAGTAATAATAATCCTTAAAACGATAATCCAAAGCTTATTAATCTGATCAATAAACGAAATTACACAGTGATTAAAATTAAGCAATACAAGATAATCAAAGACAGAACAAAGCACTGAAAATTAGAAAATGTAAAAACCTCTAGAAACAGTAAGAGGGTTTGTCGTAAAAGTGAAAGAGTTGGAAAAAGCGTCTGCGGCGGTAGAGAAACGCCGATCTGAGACGGGACCAGACGACGCGTTTCAACCTACGAGCTGATCTCAATCTCGTCCAAACAACTCTCTTCACTCTCCTAACAGATCTCGTAACTTTCTCCGTGAAGCTCTGTTTTCTTGAGAATTGGTAGCTCCTGAGAAACATCTGTCTCTTCTCCAAATACTCTCCATATGCTCCACCATGACCGTAGCTTCCTTGCCAGTCACTGCTGCTTCTGAAGACGAGCTTCTCACTCATCGGAATCTGAAGAAAGGAGGCTTTTTTTTTTAAGGGTTTTAGGTTTCTGAGTTAGGAAAATGGAACCCTTATAAGGAAAGGATCGATTGAGATCCCTAAAACGCCGCCGCTAACGCAGTCGTGTAATAGTGAAGAATTTGTGTGTTAATGTTTCTATTTTCCTTTTCTTCTTCTTCTTCTTCTTCTTCACTAATCTCTCTTTTTAAAGTGCTTATAAATATATTTCGCTTTCTCGTATGTGTACACGCACTGTGTTCTTATTGGCGCAAACCTATGTTCTCTCGCTAATCTGAAAGACTTGTCCTCGTTAATCCATCCAAAAGTTTGGTGAGACTTTAATTTTAACCTTTTCCCGATGAGCAACAACATTCCACTGTCAAAATGTTCAAGTCAAAACAGTGAATGAAACCATCTGTTTCGAGAATGAATGTGTATTAATCAATCGTAATTATTTCCTTAATGAGGCCATTTGTTTCGAAAATGAAGAAAAATGAATTTGTTCTTTTCTATTATACACATACATTGAATCAGAAGACATTTTCGAGATGCAGTAAACGTATCATCCAAGACAATATAGTTCAAAGAATTTAAGAGAATATAATATATACCCTATGGAATTATATAATTTCATCTTTAAATTAAAATATAAAGTTTTCTACAATATTATAAAAAAGACTATTTCAATCGTTGAAAAAAAAAGAGTGTTTCCATCTCTACCATACAATCTTAGACTGTAGTGAGTGCCTTATTATTTTAGTTTTCCCTTCCATTTTGTGGTCATATGAGAGACCTAAATAGTTTATGTTTGGTAGACCAAAGTGTGTGGTTAGGTGTGTGAAGAAGTGACATCGGCTTTAAAGAGGGATAAGCTGACTCCTATGCATTTACTCTTACTTTCGTCAAAACCTACCTTATCATCCTAAGAACAAGACCTGTTATGCTATGTCACACCAAAGTATAAGAACAGTGTCTTCAAAGTTCAAATTCTATATCATCTCCTTGGTAAAACAATAGTGTTAGGCACACAAGCTCAACATCTCATCCTTAGCTTTAGCCATTAAGAGTCTTAAGGGCTTTGTTTATTATATATGTTCTCAAACTTGAGAAAGTGATGCCAAGAACACTCGATATGTAAACACTAAAACACTCTTGCAACTTATCTAATTACATGTATTCCAAGAATGTTTCTCGCGCTGCAAAGCAATTCACAAGCTCGAGAAGCAATTAAGGAGAAGTTCCATATAAAGCTATGAAGGCAAATTGGTATAAAAGCTTTTTCATTTATCCTCAAGTCTCCTACTAACATCTTCCGACTAAGAACACACCTGAGAAGATTCATCTGAATCCAGCTATTAGGAGCACATCTTGTCCTTTTAAATGGTGCTTTCTACATCTTCTTTTTTGTTCTTTCTGCTCCTATCTAGGTCCACTTTCATTTGCAGAGGGGACGTTGCTGGGGAAACTAGATATATCAATGTCAATGAGCGACATATCATACATTGTATCAAGAGAATCCGAGGCATTCACAAGCAAGGAAGATTTCGCAGCATCAGAGCGTGCAGGATCAGAAGTTACGCTAGAGCTTTTCGGCGAGCTTGCCCCTGAAGATAGACTACTTGAGACCGAAACGCCATCTATCTTGTTTGCATACACGGGTTTGTTCTTTCTCATTGCATCCATCTCTTGGCCAGTTGGCACAAAAGTCCTCGACCGGTACTTCTTTGTCCCCTCGTCACCACCATCGTTATGGTTATAGAGCACATAATCGTGATAAGTAGGAGCAAACTGTAATAACCAATCATCAGCAAACCAAAATGCAAAAAAAGCAATTTACTTGAAAAACCCGATAGTTTAAAACGAAATCAGATACCTGATGAACAGTGTCATGATAGAAGTCATTTAGTTTGACAGCATGTGACAGGCTCCCTGAGAAACTGCCAGATCCACCAACATTGGCACCGGCATACTCCTTGTATGGGAAAGCATAGAAATGGCATGCGGCAGCAATAAGCATCTCGACACATATTATAAAATTCTGAAAATGAGCCGCTTCCTCTGCGCCCTTTATGAATCCAGATTTTGCAGCAAGAAAAACTAGAACACCCTGAATAAAGAAGAAGGTCATGGAACAAAATTAGAAGAAAGCAACTATAAGTGGAAGATAGCTAAAGGCAAGAGTTGATGTCAAATACTCTAGTTATCACGCAAATTCACCTGCCAATATGTTAGAAAGACCACAGACTTGATGATCACAAACTTTGGGACTGGATTGAATGGCTGGAGCAGATCTCTGCATGCCATGTAAAACAGCACAAGTGCGTACAAGGCCACTGTGTAGGATATGGTATAGATGATAGTAAGATAGAGATATGCTTGATCAGGGTTAAAATTCCCATCCTTGTATTTCCCTTTCGCATAAAGAACAAGTGTGACAGCAACTAGGATAGGCTTCAAAATTACAAACTGCAGACAACCTTGCTTGCATCGCCGAATAAAACGCCTGTGCAAAGAAAGACCATCAGTCAATAGCTGTCTGCATAATTATTAACGTGATGATACAGAATCTAAAAACGCCTTGCTTGTTCCGCGAACTTACCCGTCCAATGTTAATGGCGGAAAGCAACATGTCATGAGAGACCAAGATGGCTTTAGAGAGCGGCCGCTTAAACTTAGCACTACAGACCCTGGACCTCCAACCCATGCCAAACACAGTGATAGGAAATTGTAAATGACCCATGCTTCATAACTGAGACATTAGAGACACAAATGCCATTAGAACACTGAATCTAAACGGAAGCAGAGAACTTTCAGGTTCAACTTTAAGAACTGCTGAGGCACTCTAAAAGAAGAAGAAAACTACATTGTCTACAGTCAAGGTTCAAGGATCAGAGAAAAGTTGTTTTAGTTGTTAAAGGAACACACATTACATTAACCAGCACAAGTAGAAATTTAAGAAAACTCACACTTCTCGTATGGAATCAAAATATATCGAGCGTTTTGGTAGCACAAGAGACAAGAATGACATGAAGGCATAAACCTGGCAGGGAGAAGAAAACATCCAGGACATGTCAGGGGAAACAGAATCCAACAAGCTTAAGGACTATAGAGAGTTGAGGTTAGAGATGGGAATACTGACCGGGACCATGAAAACGATGCGTACGATATATCTCTGATAAGTTGGCTCCGTGTAATTCAAGAGGTGCCTGTAGATATGAAAGATTGCCAAAGCAATGGCTCCAGCAGTACATAGAAATGCCACGATATTGAGGTAGAACGGTATCAAATCCGCCATTCTGCAAACAAAAGAACACACATTTCGCTATGAACAACCTCATCAACCTATAATTAAGCAAAAGCAGAAGGAGATTTTGGATACAAACCTCAAACAAGAGCTAAGACGGATCTGGAAAACAAAAGTTCAAATTGCTTCAAAGGTATCAAGAGGCTGCTGAAATTGAAGGATCAGTGGATCACAGAGCAGAAAGAGGAACCCTAAACACGAACCCAATTTCGCGAGTAAGGAAATCGGCAAGTGGTTTTATCAATGAAATGACGCAAAACCCAGAAACGAGAAACGATCCGCAATCGGGAAGAGCGTACCTTGAAATGAAGGAGGAAGACAACAATGTAACCGTAGTAACGAAGCAAAAAAAAAACCCTCGAGAGAAATTTTCGGGGAGAGAGCAGTTAATTGGATTTTGTGATGAGGGTTTTGATAAGCCTTCCACCTTCTTCTTCCTTTCCTTAGAAAGGAGAAAACTTATGGAGATGGGTTTCACAGCAAAGCAAGTCGAAAAGAAGAAAAATTTGAAGAAATTAAATGGAATCTTTAATTATAGTTTCTCTCTTTCTCTCTCAAGATTTTTTAGATCAGCGTAGAGTTGGAATCCGTTCAACCTCCATCCAATCCAGCCTGTGGACTTCAAACCCTAAATTATTGATTTTTATTTCCGCTTTCTAACATTTTACTATTTGTTTATTTATTTTTGGAATTATATCTATTTCCCTTAACACATTCACAAGTCTACCCAATCCAAATGATTTTTATATGCGTGTTCATAATTATTGATTACAATTATATAAACTTGATTATAATTTGTCGGCAAAGAGTGTTCAATCCGCAAAAACGATAAGTCCACAATCGATTTAAAAACCAAACTTTAGCCCACAATCCCCAAAAAGATCGATCTCTCTCTAACTGTTAAGTAGAGAAGATTAGCTTTGGTTGACAAACACATGTGGAAGAGGATGAAACTAACTTATAAAAAATCTCTATATTCATACTAGGCCAGAGTTACAAAGCCATTTAATGGGCCTATTGAAACACAATATCAGCCCATAAAAGGCCCATTATATCTGATATTTTACGCCACTTGAGGGAAGCGAGAAATAAATAAGATAGGGCGGAGCAGAGAAGCAAAAGCGTGGAAGGTTACAAAGCCTTTCAAAAAAACTCTCACTCTCTCCACCTTATCCTTCTCGTTTCCCTCTTCCTCCTCCTCCTCTCCGGCGAGTATCGGAAATGGCGTCGACGGTGGGAGTTCCATCTCTATACCAGGTTCCTCACCTTGAAATCTCTAAACCCAATTCAAAGAAGAGGTCTGGTTGCTTAGCTCTCTCTCTGGATAAGCCTTTCTTCTCACCCATCTCTCTCCGAAGAACTCGTCTTATCCACTCCTCTTCCTCTTCCTCCTCGCTTCTTATTCCCTCCGCCGTCGCAACTCCCAATTCCGTTCTCAGCGAGGAAGCTTTCAAGAGCCTCGGTCTCTCTGACCACGACGAATTCGACCTCGACGGCGACAACAGCGACGACGCCGAAGAACTCGCTATCTCGAAACTCGGTTTGCCTCAGCGTCTCGGTGAGTCTCTCGAGAAGCGTGGTATCACTCACCTCTTCCCCATTCAGGTTCGTCTCTTTTCCTTCTGTCTGGATAATTTCTTCAACTTAGGTTTCCATTTTTTTTTGGTTCATTTCCAAATTTCAAATTACAAAAATGGTCCCTTTGCGTATAATCTGAAAAAACTATCTTTGTTTGCCTTATCTTCACTAGAAAGCTTAAGACCATAATCTTATATATGTTGAGTAATCGATTGACATATTGTTTTTGGGTATTTGAAGAGGGCTGTGCTGGTTCCTGCACTGCAAGGACGAGACATCATTGCTCGTGCAAAGACAGGAACTGGGAAGACTTTAGCTTTCGGTATCCCTATCATCAAACGGCTCACTGAACAATCTGGAGACTACTCTGCTTTCAGGTTCTTTTTTGGTTTGTTTACTTTACATACGCTTTGTTTACACTTACCTTTCCATTGGATTCTCTAAATGTTTAGTTTTTTTTTTCTCTTAATGAGCAGGAGAGCTGGTCGTCTTCCTAAATTCCTTGTCCTTGCGCCAACCCGGGAACTGGCTAAGCAAGTGGAGAAGGAGATTAAGGAGTCTGCGCCTTATCTGAGCACTGTCTGTGTGTATGGTGGTGTTTCTTATACCATTCAGCAGAGTGCTCTGACTCGTGGTGTCGATGTTGTTGTCGGAACTCCTGGAAGGATCATTGATTTGATCGAAGGAAGGAGCCTCAAGTTGGGTGAAGTTGAGTATCTGGTGCTTGATGAAGCTGATCAGATGCTTGCTGTTGGGTTTGAGGAGGCCGTGGAATCGATTCTTGAGAATCTCCCACAGAAGAGACAAAGCATGCTTTTCTCAGCGACTATGCCTACTTGGGTCAAGAAGTTGGCGAGGAAGTACCTTGACAACCCCTTGAATATCGATTTGGTAAAAGCTTTTCTTTTGCTTTCCTTCTTTGTACCTTCTCATTGTTCAGCTAAGACTCGGATGCTTAATGCTAGCTCTTTGTTTGTTTTACTGGGGTTTGCAGGTTGGAGACCGAGATGAGAAGCTCGCGGAAGGGATCAAACTCTATGCAATCACAGCCACATCGACATCAAAACGCACTATTCTAAGCGACCTTATAACAGTATGGCTCAGCTTATAGTTTGCTGTTTCCTAAACATGGTTGATGATTCGTTGGTGTCTTTAGCTCTGAATTTGATTAATTTCTAATTTCAAAACTTGAAGGTGTACGCCAGGGGTGGCAAAACCATTGTTTTCACCCAAACAAAAAGAGATGCAGACGAGGTCTCTCTTGCTCTGTCAAACAGTATAGCTACCGAAGCACTTCATGGAGATATATCGCAGCATCAGAGAGAGAGAACACTCAATGGTTTCCGCCAAGGGAAGTTCACAGTTCTAGTTGCCACTGATGTTGCATCTCGTGGACTTGACATCCCGAACGTTGATCTAGTAAGTTTTCAAAGTTTTCAGTACATGGTTTATCCTTTTCAGAGGCATGTTTTTCTGTGTGTTCTGACATTTTCTTCTGCAGGTTATCCACTACGAACTTCCTAATGACCCAGAGACTTTTGTGCACCGTTCTGGTCGTACTGGGCGTGCAGGGAAAGAAGGCTCTGCCATTCTCATGCACAGCAACAGCCAAAAGAGAACAGTGAGGTCTCTGGAGCGTGACGTAGGCTGCAGATTTGAGTTTATTAGCCCACCAACGGTTGGAGACTTGCTGGAAGCGTCAGCAGACCAATTGGTGGCCACTCTTAACGGTGTTCACCCTGAGTCTATCAAGTTTTTCTCAGCAACTGCTCAGAAACTATTTGAGGAGAAAGGAACGGATGCTTTAGCTGCAGCACTAGCTCACCTGAGCGGTTTCTCCCAGCCACCTTCATCAAGATCTCTCCTCAGTCATGAGCAGGTTTTAATTCTCATTCATGCTTTAAGATTCAGGAAAACCAATGGGATGTGACTGACATTGTTAGAGTGCTTCTTGAGAGTCTTATGAACTTAAACATCCACTACATAGCTGAAGTTGAATTTTTGGACTGCAGGGATGGGTGACGTTGCAATTGATACGAGATCCAACAAACTCTAGAGGCTTCCTGTCTGCGAGGTCTGTCACTGGTTTTCTTTCCGATGTTTACCGTCCAGCAGCCGATCAAGTTGGAAAAATCTTCTTGATCGCAGATGACAGGGTCAGTATCATTGAAATGATCGTTATATTAGCAGAGTATATCTGAACCTATCGTTCTTTTGGAAATCTCTGATTCTGCTATGTATCAGGTGCAAGGAGCTGTTTTTGATCTACCAGAGGACATCGCGAAAGAATTGCTAGAGAAAGAAGTGCCAGAAGGAAACAGTTTGTCCATGATAGCAAAGGTATTGATCCCGGATTCTCTTTTGATACAATATTAACATATTCATAATAAGACCTTTTTTTGACAAACAACACTTGACATATCTGGTCTTGACTGTAGTTGCCTCCGCTGCAAGATGATGGACCGTCTAGTGATAACTATGGACGGTTCTCTAGCAGAGACAGGATGCCTAGAGGAGGAGGTTCTAGAGGGTCAAGATCTGGCGGTAGAGGAGGATCATCACGTCGTGATAGTTGGGGAGGTGATGATGACAGAAGAAGTAGAAGCAGCGGTGGCGGAGGAAGCAGCTGGTCCCGTGGTGGTGGTGGTGGTGGTTCCAGAGGAAGTTCTGATGATTGGTTGATTGGCGGCGGTAGTGACAGAAGATCATCAAGCAGCAGAGGTGGTCCTTCTCGGGAGAGGTGAGTTTTGTAAAATTGAAATTTAACCTGTCAAAATCTGCGCTCTTGTCCCATTCAACGTGATTGATTGAGGTCTGTAAACAGGAGTTTTGGAGGTGCTTGCTTCAACTGTGGGAGTTCAGGGCACAGGGCATCAGATTGTCCTGACAAGAGAGGATTCTAAAGTGTTGTTAGTTAATGGGTTCTGCTCTTGAGAGATCCTTGTCCTTTTTGGTGTTCTTAATGCAAATCTTTTCGTGCTTGCTTCAACCGTTTGTTTCAGACGGTAGAGAGTGCAAGCATAGATGATGTATGCTTCGGACTAGGTTTAACTACAAGCATAGTGCAGAAAAGAAAAGAGAGAGGCAAAGAAGAGTAAGTAAAGGAGAAGGCTTTCCTCAATTGGCATTTTCAGATATTGCTTCAGAAACACGGGAAAGCTGATGGGTCTTCTTTTTTTTATTTTAGGTTATTTATAAGGATCAGATTCCATGTTTCTGAGTTTTTGTATGAATTAAGTTATGTGGTTTAGTCAGTCTATTTAAAAACTATCTTTTTGTTTCTATTATATATATGTGTGAATCGTTATCACATGTGTTTTAACAGAACTGCGTGTCATCATAATAGAATCGTATTTTTTTTTATTTAGTCTTATGGCTAGAGCTGTGTCATTAAATTGCACATAGAGAGACAATTCTTGAAATCAAAACTAACCCGAATGTATATGTAGTTAAACCATCAGAATCAAAAAAAAAAAAGTAAGGCACAAGCTAATAAATCAGTTTTGCAAAGCAAGAAACACACCAAAACGTTCAAAGAGTAAACTGATCTCTCTCAATCTTGACCAGTCTTCTTCCTAGATTCCTCCACTTTTTTCTCCTTGGCTAAGTAATACAAGCCGTGACTTCTCACCTGTTGAGCAGTCTTTGTTTTCACCACATTTCGAGATATGGCCTCCCAATCTCCTGGCCCAAACCGGTTTAGCCCCTCAAGAAAAAGTCTGAAGAAAACCCACAAAATTAGTCAATAATCAAGATAATCATAATAGATAACAACATTAAGAAAAGTCAATGCTTACTCATGTTCTTGCGGCGACCAAGGAGCTCTCTTCACGGCGACGATTGGTGAACCTAACGAGTTGTCCGGCGCAGCATTTCCACTGGATTCAATCGTTGCGATATCATGAACCAATCTTTCGTAATGATGAACTATGTCAGCAAGCGGTCTTCCCAATTGATCGGCGATGATCTCCAATCTCGCCGGCGAATCAGGGATTTGCGCCAACATGTTCTCGAACGCCTTGTTCTCCTCCCAAGTCCACTTCATCGCACAATCTAGAGAGAGAGACTGCGAAAGATCGAGTGATATTTTCTAAAGAATCTGTTACGGAGAGGTTTTGGGGGTTTTAACAAGGATCCTGAGATTTATATAGTTTTGTGCATTACAAATCAGTCCCTCTGTTTGCAATCGCCCAAACGCATCGGTTTTAGATCAATTTATTTTAACCGCCAAAACTATTTTAAATTTTAGCTCATTTGTCGATTTCTTTATTTATTTGTACTAGTGTGTGATCCACGTTTTGTGCAGAATTTTACATCCCATTTGAATGATGATACAGTTATTAAAAATATATTTATAGTCAATACATTTTTTCATAATTTGAAAATTTTAAATTTAAACCGTTGCTATAGGCGGCACACCAGAAAGAGATGGTACATCTTCTTCTTCTACGGTTCTATTCATCTTCCCTGGAAAGAAACGAGACCCTTCTTCGCCTCTTGCGCCATATCTAACTTTGTTTTGCTCTGTGCTTCTGATCTTGGCCTAGAGGCGGGTCTCAGTAAGATCTTCTTAGTGGTATTTCGTCGAACAGCTTTTTGGACAAGCTCACGCCTTCCCTTGTATCAAAACAACTCTTCTCAGCCTCGTAAAGATCCTTGTGTCAAACGCATCTATTTCGATCCCTAGACTTTGAAAAAAGGTGTCTAGCCATCGCTGTTGTCTCTAAGCTCTCTTCTTCAGCTACCGAGAGAAGTCGTTAATAGTAGTAAGAACAGTAACAGTGTTAGAGACTCGTACTTTAGATATATGCCCGAATGTATCTGCTAAATTTTCCATATTGATACAATTACAGAAATATCAAACTATAGTCAGATGGTATATAAATTTCATCTGTCTCAATATCGCTTAAAACATGGAAATAAATAAAATACCGGTGACTTATAAAATTGATCAATGAAGATAACTAAAAAACATAAACTATATAGGATAAGGAAGGAGTTGGAGGAAAATTAAAAAAACATAAACTATATAGGATAAGGAAGGAGTAATGACTGAGAAAAAATCTGTCTATATTAAAAAGTGAGGAACAAACAAGGAGCAAACGAAAACCCTAAAAAACAACCAAACCTTCCAAAATACTACACACAACGATGATGTCAGAGCTGGTAGGGGATTTGTTAGAGGAGATACTTTGTCGCGTTCCCGCCACATCTCTGAAGAAATTACGATCTAGTTGCAAACGATGGAACAGTTTGTTCAACAATGGGAGATTCACAAGAAAGCACTTTGATGAAGCCGCAAAGCAGTTTCTGATTCTCATGTTGAAGGAGTCTAGGGTTTGTTCGATGAGTGTCAGCCTCCATGGAATTGCATCTGTAGAGGCGACAGGTGAACTTAGCCTAATCGACCCTCGTTCTAATTCATATCAGTTCGAGGTTTCTAAAGTCTCTCACTGCGACGGCTTATTGTTATGCACCAACGTAGATGGCACTATGATTGTGGTTTGGAACCCCTGTACCGGCCAAACCAGGTGGATCCAGCCAATAAAGACAGGCGACAGCTATGCTCTTGGATCCTACCGATACAATAACAAATCCACCGATAAAAGCTACAAAATATTGAGCTATGAGGTGGGTTTTGGGTATAACAAAGAATTCGCAGTCTATGAGATTAACTCCAATTCATGGAGGATTCTTGACGTCACTCGTGACTGCCACTTATTATATACTGATTACGGCGTGTCTCTAAAGGGAAGTACTTACTGGTTTGCTTCTGATGAGAAAGAGGAGAAACAGCTCGGCGTATTCTTAGTCTGTTTTGATTATACAAGAGAAAGATTTAGACGGCTAGGTTTTCCGTGTCAGTGTCCTCGTTACGATGCCTTGTCTCTATCCGTTATTAGAGAAGAGAAGCTCTCGGTGTTATTACAGCGCGAAAACACATCGAGGACCGAGATATGGGTGACAAATAAGATTGGTGATGCGGCCCAAGCGGTGTCGTGGAGCATGGTCTTAGCAGTGGATTTGCAGCCTCGTCTTTATATATCGCACGGGGTAAGTTTCTTGGTCGATGACGAGAAGAAAGTCATCGTGTGCTGTGATAATTACTTTGGAAACGATGAATTCGACTGCAAAAACTTGGTCCACATTGTTGAAGCCAATAAAGTCACACAAGTGGATTTTGGACCAGTCCACTCATCTTGGCCATTTTTGTTTAATTATGTTCCAAGCTTGACTCGAATCCAGCAAGGTGTCGGAGGCGAAAGAAAACAAAAATAGCGATGGATAAGTAAGCTTCAGGCAAACCTTCTGTTTTTTTTTGAGTCGTTTATGCGGTAACAAGCTAACTAGTTTGTCTAGGTTAATTTGCAGACATTGTGATAGACTTGTCACACAAATACCAGAAATATAATTAAAAATTTATTATAATTCTTGATTTCTTCTTCACCATAAACATACATAACTGTTATTAGCACACTGATATAGATAACAACTTAACATAATACGAAGGAGACACAAATCACATAGTGGAGCATTGCAGAACTGTTGAAGACTCAATCGAGATATTGTGATAGACTTGTCATACACACACCAGATATATAATTAAAGTTTATTATAAATAATTCCCGATTTCTTGTTTATCATCATAAACATACATAAAAGTCATCCGTGGCTGTTATTAGCACACTGATATAGATAAAAAAAAATGAAATTAATACGAAAGAGACACAAATCACACAATTTTAAAATAAAATAAGATCAAACGGTGGAGGAAGGTGATGAACCAGATGGTGTTGGTTTGGAAGGTCGTTGTGGGAGACCACATTTGGTCAAACAATCTTGGTAACAAGGTTTGCTCTGCTTGCCACAAGCTATGGAACAGTTTTTGAAGCAATCGAATCTTGGATCTTGCGTTGCCTTGCTCTCACCAGCACTTGTCCCATTGCATGCTTGTAAAACACATCCCATCATGATCAATGCCATCATCATCATCGTCATACACACTTTGCCCGCCATTTTCTCTTTTGTTCAATACAAAAAAATTAGACAGACTTGTTTTTTTTATTGTTTGATAGATATGAGATGTGTGGATATTGTGATTGAGAAGAAGGCGTTTATATATTGAGTTTTTTTGGCCTCTATATATAGTTCATTTGCTATTTCTGTGTGTTTTCTTTTTTAGTCGTTGCTATTTTAGTTTGATTTGACTTTCATAGAGTTCCTTTTCTTATTTCTGATTGGTTTGACTTAAATAGGATTGGCTAACTATGTATAGTTTCTTTCTTTTTTAATATGTTAGTGACTGGAAAACTATGAAAACGCTCTAGATATAGTTTATTAGTATTGATCTATTAAATATGGTTAATAATTTTTTTGAAATCATAATTATATGCCATAAAACATACATTGAACTCAACCGGAGTTCGTAGCCTAGTTGTTTGTACTATGCCATCGTGTTACTATAACCTATATGATTAAAATCCGCTAGTTTACGTTTATCTCGTAGATGACAAAAATGATAATATTTTAGCATATACGTACGTAAATATATTTAAGTATGCGTTTTACTGATATTTTAATCCAATAATATGGATTTTGGTGCAAAACATAAAAGAGAAAATAAATCAACGACTAGTATATTAATATCCCCATGAATTCAAACTTATGAAATTACAGTAAGCCAATCTCGGATTGGCAGGAAAAAGTACCAATCACAATCATACAAAAAAAATGTTCAAAACCAAAAATTATAGAATAGGTAAAAGGTGTATAATAATAACAATAACAGTAATCATATGGTTATATAGGAAAAAAATACGTCCAAGCAGAGACTTCCTGGTAAAAGATGCAACCCACCAGAACCTGCAAATTTTAAAAGAAACCAGACATTAATCATCAAGTATTCCTTTGCTCCTAAAGATTCTTAGAGAATTAGATACCATATCATGTATATATATGTATCTGTGTATATACGCTAATATCAACAAGAATCAGCTTCCACACCCTTTATTCCAGATTCTTAGTTACTTTTTTCTTTAAAAGATCAAAACTTGAGTTGGGTTTGAACATAAATATAAAAATGATCATCATTGACTCATACATACATACATACCTGATCAATTTATCGGGTTTTCGGTGTCTCTTTACGATGCTGTTGCTTAGGCTTTAACCTAAATAAAAAGTTCACAGAATCGTTAAATCTACAAAAGTTTTTAGCTTCAAGTGATCAAATAATGGCATCATAGCTGCAGCTGCTTGGCCTATAGTCTACACGATATCACCGTGCCAAGGTATTTGGCATTGCTCTATTTAAAATGGAATTGCGAGAAGAAGAAAAAAGAGACTTTGATAAAAGTTTGAGCAAATGCTTTATTCTTTATCCTTTATCTTACAGGACCATCATGATTTAGACCTGTAAACATCAGTTACAGGCTTCTACATTACAGGAGGTTCATAGGAATCTTTTGATTCCTTTTTTTGACCACTAGAGATTAGAGAATAGCACAACTATTATTGGTTTTTACCTTCTCAGCTTCAGGAGAAAAGACTGCCTTCACCTCCTGAAATACATCTTCAATGGGCTTTGCGGCATGAATCTGAAGGTACAACAACACTTTGTTACAAATTATACTCGCTGGACCTTAATGCAATCAAACAAGAAGAAGATTTTACCTTCCGGACTTTCCCCTTAGCTTCATAGTACTGAATCACTGGTAAGCTAGATTCAAGAAACACCTTGAAACGCTTCCTTATAGTCTCAATATTATCATCCTCTCTCCCCTTGAACAACAGAAACGGAGGCAAACAATCAATACATATGTAAAGTAGAATGAAACAAAGACCCTAGACAGAATCAAAGTGACAGAGCATTTCCTATCGTATCAACCTGGTTTCGGCCCAACAGGCGCCTCTCCATCTCTTCCTCAGGACAATCAAAGAACAAGACAAACTTCGGCTCAATCTGAGTCTACAAAATATCATCAAGAGCCATGTAATTAAGCAATGGTGTTGCAAAAGAAACACAAAAGTATCTCCTGCGAATATCAAAGTACTTACAACTTTCTCAAATGCTGCTCGGTTTTCCTCATTACGAGGGAAGCCATCAATGAGGAATTTGTCATTCCCGTTTTCCTGAATTGCTTTCTGCAGAAGCTTGATTGTAACCTCAGAAGGTACAATCTTTCCCTCTTTAATCATATTCTGGATCATAGTTCTGCAGAACCATGGAAATAGACAAAAACAGACCAGCTTCAATCAACGCAATAGCTAATAAACCTAAGGATAATGAACGTGAAGGTGACTCTTTTCGAGTCTTCATGTTTTAAGCAAGCCAAATTTCTAGTTGAAGGCTGTATGAAAACCACTAATGCTTATGCATAAATATTTGACAATGCCAGATAGTTTAAAGGGTATACCCATTTTCAGAACCAGATTTGATTTCAGCTCTAAGAAGGTCTCCAGCACTCAGATGTGTGTAGCCATAATGCTCGACGATATAAGCACACTGAGTACCTTTTCCACTTCCTGGACCACCTGTTGAATCCAAACAACAAACGAACTCATTCAGAAATACAATTAACCTGCAACAAGTCGACCAAAGAGACCATCTCAAGGATCATAAGGACAATGCAATCCATCGACGATACCGCATTAAGAAGACCACAAACATGATGATCAAAAAGAGACCCGAACTAACTTACCCAGGACAAAAATAACTGTGGGTTTCTTGACACTTGCGGTTCCATTTACCTCCTGGAGAAAATACACCAAAAGTAAACTTCAAATAGGCTTAACAATATATCGTCAATCCATAGATGTGTCAAATCAATTACCTTGTTTGCAGCATCAACAATGGATCCCATGATACTAAGCAATTGGTTTAAATATTACCTGTGGAATGAGAATCAGTTAATCAATTAGATAAGCATTGATTTATAGTGCAAGTATCGAGTATCTGACTTGTTCTTACTTCTTAACAATTATCAAGATAATCATTGCACAGATCTAAAGGCTAAGAACGTAGAAGAACAGGAAAAGCAAGATCTAAGGGAACAAAAGGTTGTAAATTTAAAGCAGCTTTATTGTTTTTTTACCAATTCTAGGAAGTAGAAGCAAAACACATGCAAATTAAAGATCAAGTGATGTAAGCATAGATAAATGCTGACCTATATAGATCAACAAAACTCAGATCCGACAGAAGCTAAAAATGAAAAATTTAGAGCAATTCAATCCCAAAAATATGCTCTTTACCAAAAAAATTCTAGAAGAATCCGAAAACATGTGATCTAAGCACAGATCTAAATGCTAAATATGTAGATCAGCATCGGAAATCAGATCCGATGGAAGAACAATGGAGAATTTCATCATTGTTCTTTCAGAAAATCGTTAACCAAATGGGGACAAAACCTAAGACAAATCGATACCCAGAATTGAATGAAACAGCTGGATAGCGAATTGAGGATCTAATTAAGATGCAAACAATCGAGCATTGGAGAGAATGGCATGAATGAAAGACACAAACCCGGTTCGAGGTCGAACATTACACATGTTTTTAAGATTCACAGGCAATTTTCAGACAAAGATAAGAAACTGTAAAAGAGACATTATAGGAAATGGAAGAAAGATCTGAGAAAAAGCGAACCTGAAGCAAAGGGAACACGGAGAAATTGGGTAAACGCTGAAAAGTGAGAAATGAGGAAGGAGATGCAAGCGATATATATATATATGCACATATACACATAGATATTTATATATATTTATACATTCCTTTTTAATTGTTTTCTAATCTTCTGCTGTTACTTTAAGGGGGACTTTTTAATTTCCCTCCATGTGTCTGTTACTTGTAAAGTTCTAATTTAATTCGAGCCTTTAATATATTACTGTTTAAATTGACAAAAAAAGAATTGTAGACACACAAAAAAAAAAAGAGTTTTGTAGTAATTGAGGTTGTCATAAGATATCTATACTGTCAACAATAAAGGAATGTATGACGAAGGCTGAAGCATTCTTTTGCTATATAATTATATATTTTTGTCGATTCTAATTAGTATTGAATAAATGAGCTTTACTAATGGTTGTGTCATCTGATTAGAAATTTTCGACAAGTATATAATATACAATGTGCAAGAAAAAATGTAAGAAAGGACAATGGAACAACTAGAATCGGAGTTTGGAAAAAGTTTTATGAAATTACGATAACAAAAAGCAATCGTACTTGGAACGTTTTATTGGCATCACATTGGTACTGGAACTTTAAATGAACAAAAAATATCAAAACAGATAATGCCAGATCTTAGTCCTGGAATCAAATAAGCCTAACACATGGGTCTTTGCGTATAATGCCAGATTTTATAAACTCGTTTTTGTGTCACACTTTTTCATAAGCCAATAATATACTTTGTATTTAACCATACGTTACACGGTGATCTCTGTAATCTGTGAAGAGGTGATGCATGATGTCGTGATAAATCATCATAAATCTGACCTCATTACAATTTGAAGTATGATAATAAAAATTATGATTATGTATAGCAAATAAGTGAAGATTACAAAAAAGTCATTAACAATGGAGATTAGTTAGGAGGTTTGGACGTAAAAATTAAGATTAGTTAGAATAGATAGAAGTTTAGAGATGGTGAGAGGTTTCTCTTGGAAATCATTAAGGCCAGCTTCCATAAACTCTTGCCTCTCTACTTCGTTTGCTCTAGTCGTTACTCCTGCTATTTTGCTCTCTATCCCCATCTCCCTTAGTCTCCTTGTCGCCTATATTTCATTCAAATCAAACATAAAAGTATATATTAAATATCGCTTTAATCATAGACCTAATTAGTCATCATCAGTAAAAACTTTGGTATCAAATAAAGAAGAATTTAATGAGTAAAGTATATATATATATATATATAATTAATACCTGAATACCGTTCATGATGGGCATGTCCATGTCCATGAGAATGAGATCGTAGTTTCTGCCGGAGCAATGAACGTCGACGGCTTCTTTGCCGTTACAAACGACGTCGTTTGTTATCCCTAAACGGTCCAACAGTTTGTGATGTATGCTTTGGTTAATGAAATTGTCATCAACGACCAACGCAGTTAGCTTCGACTCCGCCAAATTTGGAACTTCATCGTCTTTATCTCTCGTCATATTTATTTCTGTCTTTCTCAGGGAAAATATTAAAAACTCTTAAGAAAACTTATTCTCTGTTGTGATGAAACTCCAAATTTTCGCAGTCTCTATTTAAAAGGAGAAGAAGGCAATGAGAAAGATTCGGTAATTATAGAACCCAACAGTATCAACTGGATTGTGTTTTGGATTCGGAGGAGATCTAGTGGTCTTTTGTACCATTATTTCTATTTTGGGTAATAAAATCTCAGCCGTTGCTTTCTCTACATGATTTTTTTACATTCTTTACATGATTTTACATTTTTCACGAGATTGGCCAAGATCCTTTTAACTTTTCCTTTCTTAGGGTTTAGATTTAGTTCTCAATCAACGGCGATTTCTTGAGGTTTTAATTAGCCAAAACACCATGTGAGAAATAGACATGAATAGCAAATAATCATATATGATTATAATTATAAAGATATGTTCTGCCAATACGAGATTTATATCATGTACATACATTTAGCAAGAAATACTACATTACATATCTAAATGTTGATTCAATTGTAATTTATAAAAGAACAAAATCTACATGTTATTTCTCAAAGTTCTATCAATATCTACGTACAAGATTTGAAATTTATTTATGATTCAAAAGTTGCCCACAGGTTACATACAAACACACTGACATGAATCTTAGGCTATCTCCAACGCAAGATTTTTATAGAGTATCTAAAGAATAAAAAAAAACCAAAAATAGGAGAAAAGTTCAGATTTATTAGATACAGCTTCTCAAAACAGATTTGTCAGATACGGTATCTCACATTTTCAATATAGTTATTATCTTATGAATGATTGATTTTTTATTTTAATATTAAAAATTAATTATTAATTTATATTATATTTAAATATAATATTTCTAAACCTTTATTTATGAAGTGATTTTGAGGAATAAGACTCTATCATTCAACCTTGCTAAACATTACTAAGTATCTTTAATAAAGAAAACGATTATATAAACTTTTATTATTATTAAAAGACTCTCCTTAAATACTAAAGGTTGGAGATGGCTTTATACATATTACTTCTCTCAAAAGCTATCTTTGAGTCTATAAAAACAGATCATCTATTAGTTAACTTAATAAAACTGAAATCTGATAATTCCACAAACTTCATTAAAAGATAATGTATAAAACATATATCATTATTAAACATAACTTCACATTGGTAATGACGGAATGCACATTTATTTCCGACATTTTTTTATTATTCGCTTTAAATAAGAAATAAAATAATCTACAGAGGTTGTGGCCTTGACTGAACAATGTAAACATCTTCACCAACCAGACAACCTTCAACGTCTTGTGCACATCCAAAGTTTCTTTCCAAGAAGAAACCTACCGAACCGAGTCTCTGACCGAGTTGCTGTCTAAAAACTGAATCAACCGTTAACCGTTTCTTGCTATAATCAACGGTCAACCGAACGTATTTTCCATCAGCAGGACCTGTTCCTGACACAAGAAGCTCTTCACTGAAGTTTGCAAAAGCTAGGGTTTGCACAATTCCGTCGAGCTTACCCGAAGCGAGTCTCCACGGTGTTCCTCTTGTCCCTGAAGCTAAAGTCTCACCTAAACCAGGAGCAATCTCGACTTCCACGAGGTTACTGTCTGGATCAGCTGGACTCACCGTGTGCAAAACGAAAGATAAGTCTGGAGAAAGCATTTCTTGGACGAGAACCGCCATTGAAGCTTCTTGTTGAGAGACACCAGCAGCTCTACGGCTCAGAACAGCTCTTCTTGTGTACAGAGAAGCCCAAACTTGGCAAACGGAATCCGAAAACACTAAAGGATCTGAGGGACTCACGTTGGGGATTGATTCATAGAGTCCTGCTGCTGACATTCCGGCCAAGTCCTCGACGTTAGCGCTTGAACGAACAATGAGACGAGCGTTATTGGGAAAGACTTTGCTTATGCTGTTGATTGTTTCTTCAGGCACTTGTAATGATTTCATCACTTCATGGATCTGATCACATATGCCGTCAAGCTCACCGCCTTCAGGTCTGGCGGTTTCCAGCTTTTCTAGCAAAGAAGCAAACTTCTTTTCCGAATTACTTTGCTTCAAAGCTAATTCCATCGATCCGAAAGGTATGACAACTCCAGTTGGAACCTTAAATGATGCCGGAACTCCGTGTTCGCTGTCCACTGCACATTCATTAGAAACCACAAAACTTAATTTAGAAAGAAATAAGATTTTGTTCGAGTCAATTTAGTTCCATTGGACATTAAGAAAACTTCACCTCTGGTAGAGGCTGCTGCTAAAGATGCAAGAAGACCACATGCAGCAGCTTTTGAACCAGAGGTTGATGCATCTGAATCAGCAAGTGCTACGATTCCTCCGCTAGGGATATCCTATGGATTAAAGTTTTATATCAGTAGGCGATCTGGGTGTGAAGTATACGGAATCGCAGAGATATCAAAAGTTTTTTACCTTGGAAGAGTAAAGGAGGCCATGAGAAGACGAAGAATCAGTCTTGGACTCTTCATCATCAGTAGATGAACTTTTCTTATCCGTTTTTTTGTTTGCATTGGATTTGGAAGTACGACTCCTCTCTTCAGCGGAAAGTATCAGATTTACATAGCTTGAAGATGCTTCCAACCTGTGAGGTTCCATATTAGAAAGAACAGTTAGAGAGGAGACGTAAGCTTTCTTGTTTTAAAGGAGATTAAAAGATTGGCTAATTCTCCAAAAGGATATAATCAGACAGATTACCTCACATATTTTCCCACAAGTCGCCGTATGTCAGCGACCTTGTCATCGTCATCACATGTCACAAAGACAATTTTCTCCTGTA